AAGGTGAAAGGGAAACTTACCTGAAGCCATCGAACTAAGTCTTGCACGATTATCCATGCTGCAGCCCGGCTGCACCGTATTTCCATAAATGGCACTTTTGTGCAGCCGGGCTGTTTGGTGACCACGTAGCTTGTCGTGGTCTCCCCTCCTTGGCCTAGCCTAGGACCTACCCTGTCCTTATCAACCACGCGAGGTTATATTGATAGGCAAGGAATTGAGAGTGGGGAGCGAGGATATCCATCAAGCGAAATCATCAATTGTATATATTACGACAGGAATGGTAGACATTAGCAGCTATAGTATACATCATCAAACCGAGGAGGGCGTGAAGTGAGATAGCTTCGGCAGCATTGCGACTCCTGTCCTCCATCTCTTCCTGTTGTGAGCATCAGAGGCAGCTTGGCCATGTTCTTTTTTGAAGACGGATGCCGGCTGAAATCCCAGCTCAGCCCACCGGAAAAGGGCGCCTGTGGACCACTGCACAAAAGAATATCGAGTCTCACCCGGCTGCACTGGTAAATTTGAGTGGCGAACGAGGGCTGATGGGATGAATATCGTTGAACCTGGGGGGAATTGGACTACAAGGCCCAAGTCCCAGAGAACAAGATGACCCCCCTTGCGCGGGTCAAAGTGCCCCAGTGCGGTTATTGAACACCACCCAAACGGGCAGTTGAGGTGATCGCGATGACGGTATGTACAAACTTGCTTGCCCATGTTGAAGCAGCAAGACGCCCATGGACTGAACTCAAAAGGAGTTCTGAGACGAGGATCGCGGTCCTTTAGATCTTGAAGCATCGTGCCATAGTAGTCATGGAGTTCTGGCCCGGTGAGAGCAAATGCGCCTACGTGTAATACAAATAAGCCCACAGTCTCATCAGAGTGGTATTGACGCGCCTGCAGTGAAACGCCCTAGTCTTTTGACTGAAGGGTCTCGGATGAGCCTTGAGATAACGGCGGCATTCCCTGCAGGTATAGATATATTTCCTGGAGCCTTTTTTTGGGAACATAAATACTCTTTGCGTCGGGCAGATGGTATTGATGGACTCACCTTGCGACCCACTCCGTGTGATATACCGCATGTAGCCACCGGAAACTTCCCGCGGCGAGGGTCCTCCTCATTGGAGGGACAGTGAAAATGAGGGCTGACTTCTTCAATGAGGGCTGAGATACGACCATTGACCTCAGCCGGTGCCTTCTAGCCTCTCCATAGATAAGTGATTAATCGGACTTCGACGTCAGGTATACGTGGGGAGCCTCCTGCCATGGGGAGCGGTCGCAATGACGAGACGAGGGTGCATCCTGTAGGAATACCTCGGACATCGGTGAGATGCCAAGTCACCCTGGCGGGGCTTTCGTTATCCCTGAAATGAAGACGAGAGGGTGAGGTTGTCTTTGCATTGCCGAACTTCGAGGTGTGATTGACTTGATGAGTATCTCCGGAAAGAAAAGCAGTTGCAGTCAAACTGATCACCGTCGCAGGCGGCAACGTGATGAATGTGAGGTAGGCAGTTGACAGTTGCTCAGCCTTCCAGGTTAAAACTTCCCGTGTTCGTCCCTTGTCTACATCCAAGGTAGCAAAGAACTTGGTATTGATTAATGCAACTGCAGCGGCTACACTCATCCGCACTCGTCCCCGAGGTCATCGCGCACCGGCACAAATCTTAGTGGAACCCCTGTTATCTCACGTCCTTGATCACGATGTCTATACCGGGAAGTCATTTTTCAGGATAGATCAGCGATCACTGGCACTCGGTATTTTAGGACAACAACACTGGCATCACTCGGAGGTGTCAGGTCACTTCATCGTACGTAGGGACATCGTCAAGAGCCGAAATGGCTGTTTACCCGAAAATGCGAGGAACGCTGATACATTTCCTTTGGTGAGTTCAGTTGTACTCGGAGTGAGCTCAATGTTCGAGAACCAGGCAGTGCTGTTCATTCGAGACCCACAGAAGTAGTTGGATCGGACCACCTCAATGATAATACACACATTCGCACTCTCCATTAGATCGAGACATTTGCTTTACAAGCCGCCGCGCAAGGGTGAGTGATGACCCACTACCAGGTGTTGGACCATCCAAGGCTCAGCTATTCAGGACAGCTTGACGGATCTTCTTCTCATACACCTGAATGGCGCACAGTGATGGTGAAGCACGCACCGGCTTCAAATTCAAGTGTGCAGGAATGTGAGATGACTATACACGGGCAAGTACGGTGCGGCTCTAAAATATTCAAGGACACCTTGGCACCACACCCGCTGGTCCTTCCTCGACAAGGTTTGTGTAACGTGAGGAACTTCTGCCAGGGAAGGCTGTATAAGCACGCCTGAGGTTAAGCGTGTTCAGCGCATCACGTAATAAAACAAATACTACAGATGTCGCCACGCGTAAGACTGGGAATTGGTCAAAGTGGTTTTCAGGAGATGGTATGTCTGAATACGCCCTCTATCACGCTCCCTCAGAAGTTAAGCGGACTAGGAAAGGTGCTCCAGATATAGCAAGACAGTTGGCACACCTGTCCCCCAGAAGGAGGGCTTTGTTGTATGCGCCTGTACAGTTATCGTAAATCCTTACCACCATGCGAGAGCTCCCGTATCGGTCTCGACACCTCGGAGGAGCATACAAAGTATGTTCTATGTCACCAACACTTCGAATGCTAGCGATGAAGCCAAACAAGTCATAGATCGACTATAATACTGTCGCTCATGAATGAGCATAGGCCGTACCCTCGCTCTCAGTCCCTCCTAACGTATGATTGAAGTCGTAACATCTTCCCGGTGGACTTTTTGCCTCACAAGATGGTAGCAAGATCGGGTATCTATCAAGAAACCCTTGAGCAAACAGGAAAAAGGACCTTCTGCGAACCGGGACGAGGGGTGGTGGGTGCAGTACACGGCTTGCCATTCCCTGTCAGATCAATGCTGACCGCTGGATTAGAACATAACAGCGAAGGTCAACAAAGTATCCTCTCCTCAAGCGAGACAATGTGCTCTTCCGTACGTGCGACATGGCCCTAGATGATCCTACATGATGAAGGGAGCATTGATCCGGCTGGCCCTTATATCGTGTCGTGCACAAGCGCCATCTAGTTCCGCGATAGCAACATTGCGGTTTCCTGTGGCTGAGAAGTGAAGGCATCGTGGACTCATAAGAACAAGCAGCCGTTGGCTGAGGGTACATCTTTCGTGGGTATCTATCGCCAATCGAATCGTCCTGAGGGTTGAAACGTTTCTTTGTACGGAGGCTCACGGTTACACAGAGGTGGCTTGTCCTAAAGCACGGGATGCGAAAAGAGTAACTCACTGATCAAGTGATTGCCAATGAGAGCGGGGATGCCGAGCGTGTTGTGTCAAGGATAAGGAGTGCCAAAGAGGGAGTGTGACACTGTCTCTCACAGGTAACTTCGTGTTCGATAACAGAACCAACATATTATGCGAGCTTATCATAGCAGTGTATGACACATCCACACTTGAGCTACTTTAATCCCACTTCAACCCCACAGCACACCACTAGTTATTGAACGCGCAAGCGATGTCTATCTCTCTGAAAAATTCATCCCAAGGAAGTTTACGAAGACGACGTAGCTGAAAGGCCTTGTACCTCCATTTGTGGGTGGACACTCTTCGCAACTATCAGCCAAGCTAATGTGGTCAAGAAGGGTACTCACAAATGGTCTAGAAGCCCATTTCGGTCAAAGGTCCCTTCACACTGTGGGCACTGGAGATCGAAGCCGGGCCTGGAGCGTTGGCGGACACCTACTGCTCTCCTTGCTCTCTGTCGAAGGCGCTGCTGATGTCTCTTTTCCTTCGACTTCGCGTTGTGAGAGCTCGCAGTGGATGTCCCTGCGTGAATGTCGTCTGTATGATCGAAATTTGTCTGAGGATCATTATGGAGAAGCTGAGGGGCATCGGTGCAGTCCACAGCAGCTGGTTGAGGGCGAACACTAAGAACACTGTCCGCGGCAAAGATACCATCACTCACCAGATATGCCAGGGGAGTGTCCGGGTTGCATAGATCTGCAGTGTTCCATCTGATTCCATAATGACAGCCACGCGTACCACAGAACTTCAGGAAGACGTAGAACATCTTCTCCCCAGCCACTCTGAACCCTCTGAGCTCGGAGTTCCTGCACTAGTCCCTGAGTTGCACCAATATCATAGATGGAGAGGAAGTCGGCCGCCACCTTGATACAGTTTGTCTTGTTACTCACCTATGGTGTGGGTTCGTTCATAGTCGTCACACAAACAAGTGAACATCAGTAGCTAAGACTCACTTGATGGGCGCAACCGGCGGGGATGAAAATCGCTTCACCAGGACACTGCCTAATTGTATAGGCTGAGACGCCATAGTCGGAGCGAAGGCGCCCCAGCATCGATGGGGTGAGATATGTCTGTTGATTATGGATCGGGTCACCATTGCTGCCTTTCTCCAGGGTCTCGGAGAGAAATCGCCGGAGTTGCGGAGTTGCGGAACGCGGGAATATATGCCAGATTGCTCCACCTAAAGCGCCATTATCTTCAGGTGTCGCAAAGAGCATCAGGTTAATTGCAGAAGTAACATCCATGTGAAGACGCGTCGATCCGTGGTGGTGATCATCCTGTTGAGTCCCGTACGCATTATACATTTTGGGGCCTACATATAGTTGAGAATAGTTAGACTATAATGACATGCGATTCCTTTCATTTGCCTGACCAAGATCAGGTACTACACCGTTTAACGGGAAATGTGCGACTAGATTCCACACCCCATCGGGCTGTGTAAGATCAGGTGCCGGGGTGGCTTGTATCAAATCCTGGTAAAGATGAGCAAACTTCGTTTTGAACTCAGTCTGCGGGGGCCAGTCCTTTGGATGTCGTAAGTATCGTTGTCGTTCCACAGCCATAGTAATATATTCCATACCTTCAACTTGAGTATTGTACAATTGCTTGGATCTTTGGCACCGAAGTCTTCGAAAAAGCTCCTCACCGTTGTTCTATAGTTCCTATTTGTTTCACAATCCACGACCGAGACGTTTTCAGCACCAAACGACTGCGAGAAGTAGTCAGGATCCCAGGAACCTTGAAGGTACCGGTCAACACAAGCGACTATGATAGGCTGGCCTTCACTCCAGAGGCGCCTGAATTCATCGCAATTGAAGCTGCCAGCTGTCAGTCGAGTCACCGTATAATTATCAGGTTTTCGACCCGTCGCAGCTCTGGCGACTCTAATCCTGGTGAGCGCTGCATTTATTCTGTTGGAGAGTGTATTGGAACCCACCCAGTCCCAAATTTACGGAGCACATCAGAAATGTTCGCCAAGTGAGAGCTGAGCTCCTCCCGGGAGAAGCGTGAAACTGGGAGACATCCAGGACGATGCTCCTTACACGGAGTACATTCCTAAGGTATATGGTTGAATGTCTATGACGGATGACGTATAAAGAGCGTACTGTGTAGCAGTCGTGACAGATCTCCCTCCCGCACTCCAAGCACAGCCACGCCAGAGCAAAGAGAGATGTCGAACAATAGTCTGACTCACGATATCAGGAGAACTTCAGGGGATAATATTCAGATGTGTGGAACACACCACATGTTACGCGAACATCTATTTCACGCGGCCTGTATATGGCTTGAGGCTGTCTCTGGTGCAGTTGTTCTTGGATAAGGATAGGTTCAAGGATTTGAGCGCAACAGATCTGAATCAATTCACATAAGTGCTAGTAGCTGCTATACAAGCTGGCTTAGACCGTACCAGCTGAGGGACTAAAGTATCTGGAGTTTGAGGTCGGTTGAAGACCTGCGGAGCTTGTGGAGAACGAGCCTCAGACGCATCGAAAGATACGCGGATAGCCAATTCCCCAGCGTCCTCATAACATATTACTCGGAAACCTTTGGTACTCGTCACATGCGTCCATCATATTATTAGGGGCAATGTGCACCAACGTACCGCGAAATCGACATGTCTTTTCTCCAATTCCCCGATTCCCGTGTTCACAAACAAAGCAGGCAGGTAGATTTCGGAACTCTTTGCGAAGACTTCGCGACCTACAGCTCACGTTCTGTACGAGCTCGTCGGACATATGTACCAAGACAGCACACGCAGGTGGCGCCAAGTCCCACCACCTTCTGAATCCGTCGGCCTAGAAAGGGAATTCCCATGTCGATCCTGCAGTATTGTGTTTTACGATTGCCTAGTCGCCAGACTCGCCACACATCCCAGCTGCGTTTAGCTGATTAATATACTCCCAGAACAGGTCTGAAGTTGCACCAAATGTCGGATGATATGCCCCTCCTTTGGGAGGGGTTCTGACTACCCCCAATATGTGGACCACTTTTCGACCGACCGGCACATCCCGGCGTGCCATAGTTAGTGGCGCCACTACTGAATGAGAACTTGCCTCGAATCAACCTTGAATCCATCAGACGGTAGACCTGAATGACTTATTAGGCTGCACAGTACATGGTTGCTTGATTAAATCTTATGCAGTCCACCTGAAATGTAATGTATGGAGTTGGAGCTCACTAAAAGTCTGTATATTTGATGTTGTTTTGCCGCCACTTATAAGTGGAAATTGCACGACATTTGCATGCAATGAAGCCGCACTTAGACATGAAAGAGCTCGGAACCACGCAATCTAGATAATGTACACATGTACGCATCATGCGTGTCCCGGGCAACAGAACCGGACCTCCTGGACCCCGAAGCTCACCCAGCCCGGTGAACATATAAACTGAGGCATTGATCTCAACAATCTATGATACAGTAATTTTTGTGCAATAAGTAGTACTCAAGCTCAACTAATACACAAAGGAGGGGTAAGCTGCCGACAGCCTCAAATACATGCATACATGTCCCTCTTTGAGTTGCAATACTCAGGAATGTGTTCTGTTACTGCAATACAAATGAGCAGTGCTCACAGCCGTTTGCAGATTGATGGGCCCACTTTTCAAAAATCATTTACAGTCGGACCACGTCAGACAAGCAATTGTAAGTCCCCGAGAGACGGAAATCAGACCATCTGGACTTCCCCACCTTCCTCCGACGTCCCTGGCATCCACTCCGACCCACTCCGACTATACGCCATTTTCTGAATTGGTGGTCTATCGATCTGCAAACGGCTGCAAGCTCTGACCGAGACGCGCTCACGAGGTCGTGAGAACTCATTATCGCGTGACGTCACGCGTGCTTGACGCGTCGTCCCTGCAACGGGCACAACTCGGGGATCATTCAGGACACGACAGAAATATATCGTTGACCGTCCAGGCCTATAAATACGGCGTCAGACTGAGCATAATGCAGAGAATCAATTGACATATACATTGCGAATTGAGAGGCTGTATTCGATTTTAGAGAGCATGTACAAGAAAATCACTCTTTAGGAGGAGTAGCAAGCTTCCCATTCAGTCCCCGCTTGATGCACAAGTCCAGCAAATTTCAGACATGTTTGTACCATGCTGTAGATTATGTGTGGCAAGTACCAAGGTGGTTGGATATCTGTTGCCTAATTCACAGCCTGAATACTCCTTGATTGGTGCATGCTTGCTACCCATCCTGTAGACAGCACTCCTGTATCGATTTTCATCATTCTTTCAATGCCACATTTTTTCTCTATATCACAAGCCACTATATACAAATCTACAGCACCATCCGCGACGCAGTGCGGCTGCTGCAGATTTTTATTGCCCGAAGGCCATTTGGCGTGCGAAGAGTCACGCCGCGCCTTACGTTCGGAAAACCACTGTAAAATTGAAATTATATCATCATACCCGTACCAAATCAATTCAGTACAGGCGTATTCGACCACAAATGAGTTAACGAAGGGGATCACATGGACAGTGGGTATAGCTAACGATACTGGGCTATGACACATTCTGCCACCGCACGGCACGGAACGTACACGATTCCATACAGGGGTCCGTCGCAGCTATCCGAAGAGCGCAAGAGATCGCGCGCGCACCACGCCAGACCACGCCATGACGGAGAGACTGACTGCCCCCTGGGGCTTTGTGACCTCCGCTGAACGGTACCATGTCGCCGGCTAGCGCACATATCACAACGTCGACGACCGTGGTGTAGAGTAGCGGCTTTGTCCAGCCTTGATCAAGCTCGCCTGATCGTTCGTCTCGGGGCCCAAGGCCTATCACTTTGCAGGGAGAGCTGCTTCGCCACCGCGTGCGCATGCCTCCACAATCTGTATAACCCGCTTGGAGGCTGTCATCTGAGACGATGACGTAACACATCCTTCAGTCGGCACGAGAACCAGAGTCAGTGAGAAATGTGAGGATTTCTCCTGGATCTGAAGCTGCCTCAGCTCCCCCACCTGCATCACATGATCAGCTTCAGACCTATTGGCGATACGCGTGGTAAGAGACTTACTGAACTTTTTGCAGTTCGACCTCTCGATACCGCGCAGTGCTCGATCCAGCATAACTAGGTGATAGGCAGTCTTCAGCAGTCGCGTGGACCTGCAAGCCGACTTGGATGACCAATGGTGCGTGCATACTGAAGTCCTCGAAAGAAGGCAGAATCACTTACAGGACTACATTTCCTCATTTAGTCCAGCTCCTCGTTTGAGTCTTTGGAACTTCAAGCTGTTCACAGCACCCGTTCAACGTACTACCGATAGCAGCACCGCTCGCGACTCACCAGCTCGTACTGCTGCTTCATATCGTCCGTCTTGCTGATCTTCTCGAACTTCGGGAGCAGCATTGCCTCGAGCGCGCCGCAGCTGGTCTTTCGCAACGGCCTGACAGCGGACGTCGCCACGAACGCATAAGAGTCAGGTAGAAATGCATACAGTCAGGCAAACGAGCAGAGGCTAGAGTGGGGGAAGCTCAAGACTATTTCGAACTCTGACTCTCTCCGCAATGCGTAATTAATATGCATCAGGAGGACACTAAGATTTTGCAGACAACTCAGAGGCATCAGTCGTTCGCGTTTGATCGTTGTGCAGCAATCGCAGAATGGTCGCTACACTATTAGTTCGCGAAATACGAACGAATGACCAAAATTATTCAATGCTCGTGTGTAAGTTACACGGTCACCGGAGTTCGAATTGTGATAGCATTCGCAGCAAAGTCGTAAGTAGTTCGTTGAGTTCGTCCTCATTGAGCGACGGATTTGGCGGCCGTCCACTTTTGGATTGCTGCACAACGATCGAACGCGAACGATCATTTCTTGAGCACCCCTAGTCTGCCTACTACTACAAGCTACGTAAGACTGATTGAGAGGCTTGTAGCCGAGCTGGTCTGCCGCCTGCAATCAGTTAACCTGAGCATACCTGATCACATCCTGCGCTGTACCTAGTTCAGCATACTGATCTGCTCAGCACAGACCAGACTCAGTCGCCTAAGCACACATGGGCAGGGCCAAAGAGGACCCGCTGAAACAGTGAATATTACAGGTAATATCCATGTCCCGCTATACTCTTCGTATGGAAGGCCTACAATTCTAGGACCGGGCTGGAACTGAGATCTAGAGTGCCAAACACGGTCGCGCGCACACTCCCCTCCGCCTCTCTCTTGACCTATTCCATCGTGTGGCCGCGTTAGGGAGTGCCTATAACTCAAGCCTACCATAGCAACCGAAGCTTAAGCTCACAATAGACCTCGTATGGATACTCAAAATGAGTGATACCGCTGCCACTCGAGCTCTGCCTGTGGACATAAGTAAGGACAACGCGGAAACGTCGATGACACGCCTACACAGCCCAGGTCCCAGGCCTAATTAGGCTGGCTCATCTGACCCCCGGTCAAGCCTAACAAGGCTCAGGATTGCTCGCTGATTGACGCCAGCGGTCGTACCGGGGATCGCGGCTGTCTTAGTACCACTAGTATACTATGTAGTACTATAATAAAGAGTCTTGCTTGAAACCGCCGCCTACATCGTCGGTCGTCGTCGGCGCTTGCCGATCCTGCGTAATCGGGCAATCGGAGCGCCTCCCGCCCGACATCGTTAGTGACAGCGTGCTACAGCGTCACTGCGGCGGGGTAAAAATGCGATATATATCATGTTGTGTAAAGTAAGTATACAGCTACCTAGCGCCGCCGGCGCGACTCGGAATAACACAGTGGCTGTCGCCCGCCACTCTCCTCATCGTTGGTGGCAGCGGCGGCGCAGCCTGGCGTATATGGGTCCAGTTTCATTCGCTAAAATTCGGGACAAAACCATATTATATTTGGAATGTATGCATAACACTTTATTACAGAGTATCGTACGTTTACAGCGTGATATAGTTCGGATAGGCGCATGTGGCAAGTGTGGCACATGACAAAATAAACTATAGATGTCCATAAGCGTGCACCTACCTGTATATACTGACAGGATACCGTTCGGATAGTTATGTTCTGCATAGCCAGCATGTTTGGGTATCAGCGAAGCATACAGGACAAAGGGGAACATGAACTTACTAGGTGGGGATGCAATGGGGGTAAACTGCTTGATGGAGCGGCCGGAACTGCCTCAGTTTTTGGAAGCTTAGCACCAATAGTATACCTAAAGCGTCAGCATGCATAACTGCCTCGATGCATAAAGGTAGGAAGTGAGAAAAAGCGATTATGCTAGGAGGGTGTCCATTACATTGCTCACCTCAGTACAAGAGAAAGGGATCCCTGGAGCATGGAAGGATCACAAAGTAACTACCTCTCCAGTATAAGGTAAACGCCCGTGATCAGCGAGGCTCGGTTGATTCAAGATGGCACTGAGTGCCGAAAGCAGTGTACCTGGGGAGATTGGTGTCTAGGGATTGAATCAGCTCCCAACCTCGCAGAGTGCCAGCTCATACCATATACCATTTATCATAAGAGACGATAGTCCACTCCATGACGAGGTCAGGAGTCGCAAAAACTGACACAAGTCTGAGAAACGTACAGGATGGGCCCAATATGTTACAAAAGCTCCCTTGGGCGCAGATTTTCGCAGAAACTTGCGTGGGGGTCCTAGAGTATCCCCAGAAATCATCAGTACACGATACACCAGGGTGCGAGTAGTCCGGGAGGTAAAAGAGGCCAAGGAGAGCAGAATCAAGGTGGTGTCACAGGGTATGCCAGTGTCACGGTATGAAGGACGTCTGAATTTCGTTCGGACGAACTGCGCTTGCTGCCTGCGGTGGCTGAAGACCGCATAACTCGTATCTCGGCATCCTTCGCGAACATCTTGCTCTCTCCTGCTATAGTTTAGCTTCATCTCATTCTGCTAATTTGCCTTCACTCTCTCGTGCCCTAATCAAATCCTGGCGCTTTCTCGAAATTAGGTTATCTCATTAGTACTGGGTTCCAGAAGCAGGTGAGTTGCCTTCCTCTTCATTCCTCTCAATCTCGGCGCAATCTTCTGGTGCTGCTTCTGTAAGCTATATACCACTTTTCCAGATGTTTGTAATGTTTTGGAGCTTTGTTGTTATCCATGGCACTCTGGTGCGTCTTTCTAAGCACTCTGTTACTCATTCTATTTTGTAGACTCATTCTGTCTTCCAGAAGATGAATATGCCTCATGTATAGCGGCATAATGTTAACGTCTCCTTTTTAAAACATAGATCCCAGGCTGCATTAGCTTGAAGCAGCCCCGAACACCTTGTGCTATCCAGGCATTCCAATTCTGCTAGTCCCTCATATGCACCAAGGTAAAGTACTAATCGTCACAGATGCATGCTAAGACTTTGACATGCACACTATGTGCTCATTTGGTACCATTTTAGGCTGCCGGGACTGCTCCATCGACCTATTTCCCCCCGCCTCTTCCCCACCCAGTAAATGCATGTTTCCCTTTGTCCTGTACGCTTTGTTGGTGGGCTAACACGCTAGCCATGCCGCATATAACTCCCCTGATGGTATTCCACCGGTATATCCAGGTAGATGCGCGTTTACTAGCATCTATATTTTATTCTCTCAAGTGCCACACTTGCCATTGCGTATATTCGCGCCGATTCCTATCTTAGACGTACAATACTCTGTAATAAAGTTCTATATTGACGTTCCAAATATAATCTGATTTATGCATGAATTTAGCGAATTTAACTGGTCTCGTATACCACACGCTGCTCCGCCGTCGCCACCAACGATGAGGAGAGTGGCGGGCGGCAACCGCGGTGTCACTCCACATCGCTTTGGCAGTGCTAGTTAGCCCTTGATGCAAGTTTTGCGAGGGGATTTACAGCGCATTTTAATTCCACCGCAGTGATGCTGTAGCACACTGTCACCAACGACGTCGGGGAGGGCGGGCGGGAGGCGCTCCGATTGCCCGATCAGGTAGTCCGGCAAGCGCCGACGACGCCCGACGACGTAGGCGGCGGCTTCAAGCGGCACTCTGTATTACAGTACTACTACATAGTATACTACTTGCACTAACACAGCCCCGAGCCCCGGTACGACCGCTGGTATCAATCAACGGGCAGTCCTGAGCGCTGAGCCTTGTTAGGCTTGACCGGGGGTCAGCTGAGCCAGCCTAATTAGGCCTCGGGTCTGGGCTGTCTAGGTGCGATGACAGTGCCAGTGCCATTTATGTATTAATAATTCATGCGTGGGTACGTATCACTACTCAGTATTCAGTCACGTACTGTTACACAGGAGCGCACCAAGCTGCGTAGTCACTACGATGGCGGCCTCGAAAGCGCCCCATGACAACCCGGGGTTTACGGGGTCTCATATCACATGACACGACGACTGTCAGTAAAGTGTCTGGGAATGTCCGGATTCGATGTCGAGCGTAACTTCTCTTCTGCCACAATGTCCTCAGAATCCGCGTCTCCAGAGCTTCAGATCAATATCAAAGGTATACCCCTCCTTCCAGGACTCGTAGATGACGTTCTGACGGATATACGCAGGCCCCAATGAACTCAAGCTCCAGATCAATATCGCATCGGACAAGACGGTACGGGAGCTGAAGGAAGCTGTGGCGGCGAAGTCAGACGTCGAGGCTGATCGACAGAGACTCATCTACTCAGGTGTGTATGCTTACGCTTGATTATGGATATGGGCTCACAGAGGCGCAGGGCGAGTACTGAAGGTACATGACCACGATTAACACATCGCGCAAGTACTGACACAGCATGCCCCGCGCTCGCGATCCAGGACGACGACCCGTTGACCAACTACAAGATTCAATCCGGACATACCATTCACATGGTCAAGTCCGCTGCTCGCTCCGGTGCCTCTGCGTCCACTTCCCCTGCTCAGTCGACACCGCAGCACCTCCCTAGTATGCAGGCCGGTCAAAACCCGCACGATCCTCTTACGCAGCTCAACAGCCATCTCGGTTACGGTGCACTAGCCGGCTTCAACCCTTTCCAAGAGATGGGACTCAACCCCAACGATCCGAATATGCTGCAGACGATGATGAGCTCACCGCAATTCCTCCAACAGATGTCCGCCACGATGAGCAACCCGCAGGTCCTCGATCAGATCATCGCGTCGAACCCGCAGCTCGCGGCTATGGGGCCGCACATTCGGGAGGTGTTCCAGAGCGAGCGGTTCAGGGAGATGATGTGAGTCGCAGATCTTAGGCAAGTACGTCTTATCTCATATCCCTTCCTCATCTCAGCTCCAACCCCGAGTCCCTTCGCACTATGCTACAAATGGCGTCCATGTTCAACCCTGGTGGGGCGGCTGCCAACCCCTTCGGCGGCTTGGGCGGTCTCGGCGGTGCTCAGCCCTCATTCCCCGCTCCAGGCGTCCCCGGCCAACCCAACACTTCGAACCCGACCAACACCACCTCGACGAATCCCACTTCCCCTACCACCGCGCCGGGTGCGAGTGCGGGCGCGGGTGCGGCACCCGGTGGACTTCCTCCTTTCGATCCCAACCTCCTCCAGAACATGCTCCAAGCGATGGGCGGCGGCGCTGGCGCTGGAGGCGCAGGGGCGGCCGTGAACCCGTTTGCCGCGTTGGGCGGTTTGGGCGCGCTAGGCGGGCTCGGTGGCTTGGGTGGCGGTCTCGGGAGCCCCCCTGCACCGGCGGACACGAGGCCGCCTGAGGAACGGTTCCAGACGCAGCTACAGGTACGTTTCATATCCTCCCGTCTCGTGCTACCTGCTTCCGACATTCACTACGTGTGCTGGAATAGCAATTACAAGAAATGGGATTCACCAACGCGTCGCAGAACATTCGCGCGTTGCTCGCGACGGGCGGCAACGTGCATTCCGCGATCGAGTACATACTCAGCGGGGGTGGCTTGTAATCACGGTCTGGGCTCACTGTAAACGGACACGATTTTGGATCGGCTCGCGTCGCTCCCTACTTGAGAACTGTATGTTCGTGCGCTAGAGAAGTTAATTATTTGTGCTGTACCCGTAGTCGAAGTGCTTTGAATGCATAGAGTAGTATCTTGGAATCCATCAACAGACTCTACAGCGATGCAGTCACGTCAATTACGGCGGTCAGTACAATAAGACGAGCCTCCAGTTAGGGCCGAGATAAAAAGACGCAATCTAAGTTACCACAGCCGTCACAGGCAGCGGATCTCCTGCCACGACTGGGCCTGGTATCGCCGACGCCGTTGATCCCACAACGTCCTTCCGAGCCTTCTTACTCTCTTCCACTCCTTCTCCCTCGCTGACTGCTTCTTCTATCCGTCTCTTGCTTGCGGGCGTCGCCTCCTGCTCTACAGCTGCTGCCTCCGGCGGGGCCTCCTTCGGCTTCGGTAACGGCCGCCAATACGGTTGCGCGAGCCAATGTGGGAGGACCGGTAGTCCCGTCGTCGGCTCGATCGTGACGAGCTGCTCCAGCGGCGCGTCCCCCGCAGCGGCCATATCACGCTATCACATGCTCGCCTAAGCATTCACGTAGGCCGGATCCCCAGAAACCACTCACCTCCATACGCGCTTTCATCTCCTTCACCACCTCGACGTAGTCCTCCACCGTCGACGACCTGATCCTGCCCATCTTCTCCCGCAGATCCCGCTCTCGCGCAAGCGCGGGTCGCATAAGCTTGAAGAGGTGACCCTTGATCGCGCTAAATGACGTTCGAGTCTTCTGAGAGGTGACAATGTCGAGGTACTCCAGCGCGAGATCGGCGTGCGGTCGGTACGTACCGGATAGAGCGGTCGCGATCGCGTCGGCGTCAGAGGCGGACAGAGAGGGGGAGTGTAGGAATGAAGAGGAGGAAGATGGGAGGAAGATGGTCGGGTTATACAGATTACCTTCAGCGCTCATGACGGCATCGCAGCCCGTTTCTCGCAGACAGCGCTCGATGTCGGAGTGGAACATGACGTTCCCGTTCGCGAATACGGGAACGGAAACAGCCTCCTTGACTGCGCGTATCTTCGCCCAGTCCGCCAGGCCCTGCCAGCAGTGAGTCGATAAGTATCTCCTTGCCAGATGGATGCACACCGAGGCTCACTGAATTATGCCCTCGCTGCTCCCGCGTCCGCCCGTGACAGGTGAGGATCTGCGCACCCGCTCGTTCGAGCATCTTCGCGTACTCTACTGTCTTCTCCACTGTTGGGAAGACACGGAACTTGGCGGTAACAGGAACGGACAGGTTCTCGTGCAGGGTATTGACTGTGCGTCGAACGAATGCCCATTAGCTCGAATCAACACAAGATAATAACGTAAACAAGAAACCGTTACGCACTCATTTTATATATCAGATCCCAGTTATCCTGCAACCAGCATCCGTACCGGCCCTTTTTCGCAATATCCTGGGGGCACCCAAGGTTGATGTCCACGGCGTCGCAATGACCTTGTAGGGCGAGTGCGGAGGTGAGGAGCTGATCAGGGTCGTTGGCGCAAAATTGGATGATGAGTGGCCGGTCCTCGGGTCCGCCTTCTTCGCCCTGCGTGAGGTTGAAGTTGGTTTCGCGATAGGCTTTTGATTTGTCCCCGGCGTACATCTGCGTAAACGACATGAGGGTCTCCGGAGCTAATGATGTACATAATATAACTTACCTTGGCATTGATCATCGGCGTGTATACGAGCTACCATCTCCGGTCAGAATTTATTGACTTGGACAGGGACGCGAGCCGATGCTTACTCACTTGCGCCCCATAGCGTCGGGAAAGCTTCCGCCATGCCTGAGGCCCCGTCAATATTGGGATTAGACGACAATGATACTGACGACATACCAGCTCGCTCTGATCGACCATCGGCGCTACGACATACTTCGGACTACCTAAGACTTCGCGGTAGAAGTCGTATCCTCCCAGCTTGCGACGGGGCGTGTTTTGTGCAGCGCTCGGTCCAGAGGTCAACGCAGGCATATTCAGGTGCAAGAGGTTGTGGATGGAAGGGGTGCGCGACGAGCGCTGGACGAGTCGGTGAATTTTGGTAGATGTCGGATGGAATGAGGAAAGATGCACAGAGTACACAGGTGGCGAGACCTGTTTGGTCCTATTTGCGGATCGTGGACATTGGACCAAGTCGACTTTGAATTCGAGTGTCTCCTCCACCTCCATGGTCAATGTACACATTTATCCGTCGTACACGTCTCGTTCCAAGGCCCTCTCGAATATATAGGAAAAAGGTTGGTATGAACCGTGCTCATATGTTGGCTAAGCTCCGAACGCAAAAGTACTGCGCCGGCGTTCGTTGGCATCAGTCAAGAGGGCTACCTGGATTTGACGAGCGAGGGATAGTACAAGGATGTCTCCTGTTTGGACGCATTCTGGTATTTTCCTACGCATGTCTACTTGCGGGCTCTCGTTTCTGGGCCATCTAGATTATGTCCGGAGGGCATCGTCCGATCGAGCTAAAAGTATGCGGATGTATCTATGCTCTCAAGGCAACTCGCGATGGTAGACCTTAGACTTCGGAAGAGACGGCTATGCAAATAGTGGGGTAATAATCTGACTACGGACGGAGATATTTCGCATGCTCACGTTCTGGAAGACATGCTGTCCGCGCACATTCCTACAGACATCCAGCGTCGTGGAGTGGGTTTGCGCCTGCTATCACTTTGTGAGTTTCTCATTCGACTATAATGCTGTATCCCGATGAAATATCTGTCTGTTCGAGAGTCCTCTTCGGACCATGGGTTGGCTGTATCTCGGAATTCACGCAAGAAAGCGTCTCTATTCCTCAATGCTGATGTCAATTGATCATGAACGCTGCTCTTGCTCCCGCAGAACTGCGGATTCTTGTGAGGATGAGTCCTGGCAGCGATGTGATTGCAACGTTCTCGCCTTCTCATTAGTCCTCGAAATGCATTAATTTAAGTTCCCGAGTCAACAGCTACTCATGATGCACCCCTTCTTAGCAACGACTTTCCAGAAGGTTATCCCTCAACTTCCTCCACGCTGCATGCGCACTTCCGGCGCCCACCATGTCACCGCTGCTCTTTGTTCTCGCTGTCTCCATTGCCGTCATCGCTCCTGCTACGAGTGCTAGTGTTCGCGGTCCTAAATCTCTGGTGTCTCTTCCGATTGCCAGGCGAGTTGCTGTCACGGGGATTGCTAACATCCTCAAATCCAACCAAGCTCGAGCGGCGCAGTTGCGCTCGGGAACTCTGGGAGGGCGCAACAAGGATGTTTGCAAACGAGACGGAGTTGGTAGCGTAGCCGCGACGACCAAGCTGTCACTTACGCCATTCCTGTAAGAACGGCGTGTATACGTAGGCCACGGTGACCCTGATTCGCTTACTCAATATGCTACGGCTATATGACGAGTAGCTCGCTATCGGCGATCCCGCTACTACTTGTGCGTATATTCCATTTGCATTTACGTCTAGGCTTTGAGGCGTTCGGTTTTCGTGGCAAGATACCTTGACTGTCGACACTGGGAGTTCGAACACCTGGGCTGGCGTGGGAACCGCCTACAAGAGAACTAGTAGAACGAAGCTAGCAGGAAACCTTGTGGTACGTCCTGTATTCATAGAAGCCACGACCGATATGCTGACATCGATATAGGACATCCAGTATGGCTCGGCCACTATGTACGGTAGGAAGGGAGATCCACGGAGTCGATGATTTGTTACGTGTCATTCGCTTTCGTAGGTACAGAGGTGACCGACACTGTATCGCTCGGTAATAACTTGACGATCAATAACCAGTCGATCGGCGACGCCTACTCTACCCAAGGATTCACCGGAACGGACGGTATTCTCGGGTATGGTTGAAATTTTGGACCATTCCAATTAGTTTTAGATTGATCGCTATCTTAGAATCGGCCCTACCAACCTTACAGAAGGGATGCTATTCCCGGCTTTGACCTCGATTGTACCAACCTTCACGGACAACCCGTTCTCGCAGGGCGTCATTTCTGCTCACGAAGTCCCCATATACCGACGACGCAGGCGAATGCGACTAACGGAGAACTGACGTTCCGTGGGACGCATTCGAGCAAGTATAACGAAAGGCTCAACTATGTGTACGTTTGTCACCATAGTTCCTCCCCCTCTGATGGCTGACTTGACTTGCACAGACCGCTGACGACGTCTGCACCGGCGAATCAGTATCGGGGGATCGACCAGTCCGTGGCGTACGGCAACACCACGATCTTGTCGCAGACGGCGGGGATGCTCGATACGGGGACGACCTTGATCCTTCTCGCAACTGGTAATTCACATGAACAACGTTATGGTAATCGTCGGCTAATGCCGGAGCCTTTATCGGATGCGCTGAATGCCCATACAAACGCGACTGGAGCGACCTATGACGAAACGACGGGGCTCTATACGCTCACCGCCTCTCAGTATGCAAGTCTCGAGAGCCTGTACTTCAACATCAATGGCGTTCGTATCACATGTCCTCTACGTGGGCAGATACTGATTCGTGAGCTAGGTATCCTACGAGCTTGTTCCAAACGCCCAGATATGGCCGCGAGCGCTCCATACATAGATCGGTAGGACAGCGGATAACATCTATCTCATCGTAGGCGATATGGGATCCACATCTGGCACGGGTCTTGGTTTCATCAACGGCTTCGCGTTTCTGGAGAGGTACTACACAGTCTTTGATACAGCTGGACAGCGGATAGGACTGGCGACCACCTATACGAGCGCGGAAATTAACTAGTCACGCAACTGTGTTCATATGCATTCGCGAAGTTCACGAACGGCGGAGGACATGGCGATACCTTTCGAGACTCGATAGTACACACGATCTATCAACACGCCGTTAGATCTGATGCCCACCCAAGGCGACTGAATTGGCCGGTATGTACATATTGTGTGATTAGACCGAGATACATGATGCTCCTATTTTGCATCAAATTATCAGTTATTCTTGACGAGGTTTGTTGCTTCCGCGCCTGACCTCCAGTATTGTATGTCCTCCGAACTCCAATCACCTCGTGACTAATATATCAAAGCGTATTCTTACATTGTTCGGAGCGATTGTGACAAAATGCACCCTGGTACGTTCGGGGGACTGGGTTTGCCATCTTCGACCTGTCAGAATTGCTTATCGAAGTAACTGGACTGTGGTGCAATTGCATTGCCTCCGAATCACGCCACCGAGTCATAAAGAAAGGTGGTATACGCCGGTTGGCTTATAACCTTGGGGTGTTCGTGCCCGACTGCTCCTCAGTAGGATTCCCTATCTTCCAGTCAAATGACTAACCCCAAGATCTTTAATAATCTTGGACCCGTCCTCCTGGGAGGATTCATTGCTCTTGCGTTCGTGTTTTCCTCTCTTGGTATGCAGAGTACGACTCAGGAGCAAAGCAGCCTATGCGGTATCGTCAACATGCAGGTGTATATCTACTCACGTACTTTCAGGGGTGATTATGTTCGAATCAAGATCTTGGTATGGTGGTTCTATCCTGTTGCAGCTATACGTCTTTTATCCTGCACTTCTTAGGTCTTGATTGTGTGGTACGCGAGCTATCATCGTTTCCCTGCATTAATTGTGGATCGCTCAATCTCCTTAGGTTACTCGATCTAACGCATTACGGTCTGGTATGTGCGGCTAACTGGGGATATTTGATCGACAACTTCGGCGACGACCGTATCATGAACTAGATACATCTGTGAGCTCGTGACGATGCCGATCTTGAAGCTCAGAAGGCTGACGCAAACCCTACGATAGAGCTGTCCCGGTGAGTGCCTCAGTGGAGTTATCGTTGGACAGCAGTCTAATCAGGTTGCCAACGCCAGCTTACATTGATCATCACTGTATGTAAAAGCCCTTCCTTGGTTCTATCGCTCCTCACAATGCCTCTATGTCATAGGCCATAATTACTTTCATCGTCCAGATGTTCGTCCCTGTGTCCTGACATCTGCTCCTTCCCCGGAGCTTTGGCTAATCCACAATGCCAGGTTCTTCGCTCAGGGAGTCCTTGTCTGTAAGTTTGCATCCAGTATACATCGAGTAGGACCGCTGGAATCATAGTATCACTACAGTAAGCAAGCGCAACTGGTCCATAACCATCCCGATGGTGAGTCAGGCTCGTAAGATGCTCACCCGTACTGATTACAACCCTGAAGGTTGTCCTGGCTATTATCCGTTTAGGTGAGTTTCAAGCAGTCATTCGGTAAGCAACGCCCCTGAGGCGCTCCACAGGCGCATCCGCAGGTACTCTAATCACGTCCTGCTACTATCGAATCATTCAATGAGTACCTCCATGCAGTATCGACCGTAGAGATGTAAGTAGTTTGTAACCGGACCGATCATCCCAATGAACGATAGGAAGGATTTGCCTGAGGAACTTCCATTTGTTTGTGGCCCACTACGCAGTGCGTTATATGCTCTTTTCCTGTTATGCAATCATCTCATCCACGCCTATGTCATCGTTTCAGTGGGTGTTCACGTTAGGCCTGGTTGCATCAGCGATGCTCGACATTTTAGTCACCGCATCGCTGTGCTGGTATCTGTCACGGAGCCGGTCGGGTATTCCTAGGTGCGCTGCAACCTACCCAGTGGGTAAGCCGCTCAGACCAGATATTCATAGTATGAACCATGTCATCGACGAGATTATGTTGTACACCATTAACAATGGCATCTTGACATGGTTAGTACCCGAATCTTCATCCACTTGATGATTCATCTAGCCAGCTCTCGATTGACAGCCTCTGCACCGTTGTCTCTCTCACTTGTGTACGTGATTAACTTCTGAGATGAATTCAACGGCTAACGAACGTTCCGATAGTGGATAAGGATGCCGCACAATCTAGTATTTCTGGGAATTCATTTCGCTATTTGTAAACGTACGGTCAATACCTACGACCCGATATTGTTCGCTGAGTCTACATGACAGTCTGCGCAAACTCCTTCATGGCCACGTTCGTCTGCTCTCCGTTATATCATGGTCAGATCATTGACGTCTTGCCTCCATGACAGGCTCAACACTCGGGAGTCCCTGCGAGAGAAAGCACACCCATCGGCTGAAAGGCCGTGTCCTCTGTCCGTCCTCTTCCCAGATCGACGGAAGGTATCCTATCATTCCCAATGCCCTGTGTGCGTTTCTGCCTTCTCACGTACTCATTTCCTTTGTCACAGAACGACGACTGTCTGAACTCTCGCACTACGAAGGTATGACCTACATCTAGCTACGTGTTGCCGTCCCTGATCCTCTCGCTTCAGCTGGAGATCAATGTCGCGAAGACGATCGAATGCAGGTGCGACGCAGAGACAGACTTGGGGGTAGGAAAGTTGTCAAACTTGAATGCCGACGGTCCGACCTCGGAGTTTACGAGCGACAATCACTTCGTGAAGCAGCCCGTCATTGAGGTGCAATCCGCCTAGATGATGTTCATGACCCATGCGTCTGCTATGTCGGTACAGCTACGACCAGGATAAGGTCTTCTCAGCGCTTCTCGATGTGTTTCTGAAGAAGACCACAGAACTCCCCATAACTTGTACTATAGACGTTGATCTTGTACTTATTTCTACTTGTATGTATACTATCTGCTGCGCTACCTAGCTGTAATTGGTGCGGCTCTGTTGTCTTCAATCCTTGGGCAAGCGTAGCCGTGAAGCGGCACAGGAGTCTGAGCAGAAGAAAGCAGTGGACGAATCAGACGGGATGGTGTTGGGATGGAGGAAAGTTCGGCAAGGGGTTGTTTGGTGGTATTTGCACTCGTCGACGCGAAGTCTGGTCCTGCTGCTCCTTGCCTCCCGACTCTCCATAGCTAACCTCCTACCGGTTCATCTGATATTGGATATTCCACGGAAAGCGAACGAGCGAGGAACGACGGATAGAACCATGTCGGCCCAAAGACTGAACGGTGCTACCCATCGCCCCTTGCCCATATTTCCCGAACTATTACCGACACATGTCGAGGACTGTTATATGGCACGCATGCTATCAGGTATTATATAACTAATTTGTAGTTTGGGGTAATATGTCCTCCAGACCAGTATGCGGACTGAAGCTTGCCCAAGTCCTCAGCCTCCCTGAAGGATCCCCGGGATCCCGCCCACCGTCCCCGTCTCCCGCTGGCAACCCGCTAATTCGTAAGCTGCGACTCGCATTCCTGTCGAAGTAATTCGTAAGGGGCATGGAATGTTTCAAGCCACGGAATAACGTACCAATCCAAGATCCCTAGATGGAACCGCGCTCGTCTCACTGACTTTACACCGCTGGCTCGCGTCCCGTCCCCACGGGAGAGATCCTGCGACTGCGTCAACCGCGTCACAGTTGGGAATGTCGAGGATGTCGTTGCTCCAGGGAAGTCGCTTGATGGTTACTAACTGCCTATAGACCGCGTTCATCTGGCCGATTACTGGATTTCCCTGTTCTGGCGATGGTATCGCTCGCCCATGCTCGGATCTGTCCTGTCCTCGCCCTTTTAGAATTGCAGATTCAGCCCGAGAACCGCGCCCTGGACTCGCACGAGCACCTCACGATATTTCTCTCAGGGCGCTGATCAACAGGACTTGGACTGTCTACTGCCATCAAGCGTGCACCGGGCAACGGATCACTGTAGTGGCCGTTCATGATATCTGCCGTCAAGCTGATGAAGGTATAGCAATAAGGCTGGATGAGGCACTGCGATGCGCAGTGTTCAGTCGTCTTCCTTGTACGGATCAGCGACCTGGGCCTGACGCTGATCCTTCCTGGCGTACTTATCGTCGCAGCGATTCAGGAGAGCGCTGACTATTCCGATGTCTGCTGTAGAAAGGTTTCAGACCGGATATAATATAAATGCCCTGAGGTGCATGCGTATGCGTGAAACCCACCGTGCGCCCGGTCAGTGATTTGTGGTTGCGGGTGGTACTTCAAGTAGGTGGCAACGGGCTGCGAGGAGGGTGAGGTCCATGGGCGCCCGTGGCATTTGTATCGGGCGTTTCTGGATTCAGCAAGGTTTTGCCTTTGATGGTGCCTGCAGCAATGTAGGTCCTCGTAAACCCCTGTCTTCCCGTGACCATCAGACTCGTTCGTATCAAACCATATCATGACAGTACTGGGAAGATATATCCTTTCCACCTATATCGTCCCCTCTAATTCCTTCAGTAAGTACCTTGGTTGGAGCTCGAATTCCTGCTGGATTCAGACGATGAAGACTTCGTACGCCAAGAGGATCTCGCGTAGACACGGTCGATCGTGCAGAACTCAAAAGCTTCTAGCCGGATCGTACTTGTGCCCAATCAGGTTTAGCCCGCCATTCTAATCTGTCAAACTGTCGGAGCGTTGTGGACGACTGCATCTTCCATTGGATCTATGGTTCAGGACGCAACGCGCCCTATATTGCGGCCATGCCGGCGAACGGAGGGCCCTCCTTCGAGTGATGCTCTGCGACGTCGACGCTGGATAAGGCGAGCACGACGTCCACCATGGCTGACCCTCGCATCGCCAATAATCTTGGCCCCGTCCTCCTTGGAGGGTTGATTGCCCTTGGGTACGTGTCCCTATAACCTTCGTACAGCAGAGGCTAATAAATGTGGCAGCTTGTCCGGTATCGTCAGTATGCAGGCATATGTGTATTTCAGGACTTTCAAGAACGACTTTGCGAGAGTCAGGATCCCGGTATGCTATATCTTCTGTGTGAATCCAAGCGCATCTCTGAGCGCGAGTTCAATCAGGTCATTATTGTATGGTGCGCCCTCACAGCGATCTCACTGCTGCTGTTGGATTACTGATTTCAGATGAAAAGGATGTTCGATGTGATGCACTCCGGTCTGGTCTGCGCGGGCAACTGGCAGTATTTAATCGAAAACTTTGGAGACCGTGATATTATAGACTGGATACCTCTGTGAGCGCCCTACTCGTATTTTTTTAGGCAGTGCCGTTCTCATTCCCACTCAAACAGAGCTGTCGCTGTGAGTACTTTCGTTGGCGGATCGCGATTGAGCGGGCGGCAACCTGACCGTCGGAATTTCGCCAGCTTACAGTCATTAACACCGTAAGTCGAGCGTCCAGCGTTCTATCTTCGTGTCCTCACAAATAGCTGTTTCTACAGGCCACAATCACCTTCATTGTCCAGACGTTCGTTCACAATCCCTGTATCGCCTAACACTGAATTAACCGTCAGCCCCAGATTCTTCACGCACCGAGTCCTAGTCCGTGAGTCCCTACTATCCGCTCCGTGGCGTCTCTGCTCATAAATGTCCAGTAAGCAAGAACAATTGGTTCATCTCAGGTCCCATGGTAAGCCGACGGCCTATCAAACTACGCCTGACTAACCGTTCTCGATGCAGTTCCTTCTCGCATTCTGCCGTCTACGTGAGTCTACTTTTGATGAATGTATGATACGGTCCCGTAACGCCCTACCAGTGGCAGCAGCAGTATCGACTGGTCTCATGTGAGTTACCTTCACATACCAAGCAAATAGGGTGCTTAGCAATCTCCAGGGTGCACCTACGCAGCTTCGACGCTTTCGTAACGGGATACTCTGTCAGTCCAGATACCGTTCATATGCCAGGGGTTACCCGACTAATACCCCTTGTATCTGTAACTGGGCAGTGGGTATTCACCTTTGGCCTCTCGTCCGCAGCCACGCTCGACATCCTCATCACCGTCTCCCTATGCTGGTACCTAGCCCAAAACCGGACGGGCATTTCCAGGTAGACGGGAAGCGTTTGCTAGTACGAGTGGCGCGCTTCCACTTACGGGTTTTGTTAGTATGGACCAGGTCGTCGATGCCATCATGATTTACACCATCAACAACGGCATCCTGACGTGGTACGTAGTCTGCTGTTTCGCGTCGTGCACTGCTCGTCTCACGCAGGTATAACGTGCTAGTGTATGCACCGTCATCTCGCTTATCTGCGTGCGTCCCTCTTCCTCGAGTGCAAACGCCGTAGCCCACTGATGCATCTTCATTAGTGGGTCGTCATGCCGCACAACCTGATTTTCCTCGGTATCCACTTTGCCCTGAGCAAACGTAAGTCTCGTACTTCCACGCCTGCCTGCTTACTCACTTACCCTGTCCAACAGTGTACGCGAACTCATTCATGGCTACGTACGTATCTCTTCACACTGTTGTTGTATCTCTCTCGTTATGCAGATCCCTGCAGGATTAACACACGAGAGACCCTACGAGAAAAGTCTCACCCTTCGTCGGAGCGAGGTCACCCCTTGCCTGTCCTCTTCCCTCATCGTTCCAGTGCATCCAATCGCTTCCTCGTACGTCATCCCTTCACCTCGGTGTCACGTCCTTGCTCACTCTCTGACCCCGGCAGGACCGCAGCGGCGTGAACTCTCGCGCAACAAAGGTAATGGTATTGCCTACTCCCGGCTACTCTGCATGTCTCACCTCCTCCGTCGCAGCTGGAGATCAACGTCGAGAAGACAGTGCGCTGCGAAGTAGAAGTAGACATGGAAGCCGAGATGTACTCCGGCATCCGTTCCCAAGAGTACGGCCCTCGCCCAGGCAGCAGCGGCCATCGCAGCGTGAAGCAACCTATCGAAGAAGAGTCCACCTCCTCACTATAAACCCTATTTATTCTACTTACTGTACCTCATGCCATGCTACGAATCGAAGGTGACCAGGATCCCGGTGATTAATTGAGCAGTGCAAGCTATAGATACAAGTTCGTTTTGTACTCCCTTTACTCGCCCATCATCTCTTCCGGCGGTGCGCTGGGCTGCTGGCCCTCCCGATCTTGCCGCTTGGCCTGGACGACGTCGTCGACGCGGAGCAGCACGCGCGCGGCCTCAATAGCCGTTTTGAATATTTGGATCTGAAATGAGACAATATTATCAGATTATGTGCCGGTGATATGGTCGCAGTGGACGTGTACCTTGACGCTGGCAGACTCGTACAGCCCGTATTCCTTCATGTCGACGATTTTGCCCGTATTGCCGTCGATCCCCCACGAGTGCTCCCCGTTCGCATGCTTCGCCTAAATAACATACCAGCGATTAGCAACTGTCATACAGTATACGAGAATGCGCTCCGCCTACCCTGAGTTCTGTTAAAACCCTAATCGCGTTGCCTCCAGCGTTCTGGCACAGCGTCCGGGGGATAACCTCCATTGCGTCCGCAACAGCTCTGAACGGCCACCCCTCAACGCCCGTAACGGACCGTGCCTTGGCATGCAGCTGCACGCTGACGGCCATTTCCGTCGCACCGCCGCCTGGCGCGAGGACCGGGTTAAAGACGACATTGCGCGCGACGGACATTGCGTCCGCGAGGTTACGGTCGATCTCGTTCAAGATGTCCTTGGACGGCCCGCGGAGAAGGATGGTGCACGCCTTCGGGTCCTCGCATTCTGTGAGGAAGGTAAAGTATCTGCGAACGAGGGTCAGTGAAAAGGAGGATGTGCAAGGACTGGAGCGCTTACTCGTCGCCGAGCTTCTCGATGTGGAACATCCCGCACTTGGTGCCGACGTCCGACTCGCGCAGATCATCGACACGGTTGACGATCGTCGCACCCACGGCGCGTGCGATACGGTTGTTGTCGGATTTGCGGACGCGCCGGAGAGCAGAGACGTTGGCCTTAGCGAGGAAGTGTTGTGCGTAGTCTGCACGTACGTTAGCGTAAACCGTTGGGATGAAGGCAGGACGTACCAGAAATACCCTTCTCCGTGATAACGAGGTCAGGCTTGAACTCGAGAATCTTATCCACCATCGCCTTGACCTGCTCCTCCTCGATCTCCAGCGTCCGCTGGTAATCGCTCTCCTTCGTGAACTCCATGTTCGTCTGCGACTCCCCCTTCTTGTACTCCAGCGGGCAATCCAGAAGCACAACGCGCGGCTTCGCTATCCGCCTGCGCATCTTCGGGTGAACAATGTCCTTGTTGAGCATGACCCCGTCCAGGACCTTGCTGTCCTCGATCTCCCCTCCGGGTACCTTCTCGACGCGCGCGTACCGCTTGATGTCCACGGTGGTCAAGCCGCCCTCGTCCGCGGAGACGGTGCGAACCGCGTCCAGTGCGAGCTTGCACATGAGGTCCGACCAGCGCACGACGAACTTGGTGCCGATCGAGGACTTGATGAGCGAGAGCATCTGCGCGTCGTCGGAGGTGTCGATCGGGATGGAGATGCGCTGGACGATGTCGAGCGCTTCTTTGAGGGCTTTGTTGTACGCAGAGATGATCACGACAGGGTGGATGTCGCGCTCAAGCTGGGCGAGGGATTGCGCTAGGATCTCTCCGGCTGAGCCATGTAAGCTTATAGCTGCATCCGTATAGTTTGGCATGTGAGGTACGTACCGAGGATAATGACACTCGTTGTACCATCACCGCACTCCTCATCCTGTGTCCTACTCAGCTCGATCATGTTTTTGGCGGCGGGGTGAGCAACATCAATTTCTCGCAGGATGGCGTTGCCGTCGTTCGTCAATCTATTTGATAAAGGTGAGAGAACGAAATATCAGTCTGAACCTGGCGTACTCACAAGATACCTCCCATAGGATCCAAGATCATCTTCAGCATAGCTTTTGGGCCCAGACATGTCCGAATTACGTCTGCTACGGTCTATCAATACTTATATCAGTTATATGGGACAAAGCAAGAGGATATTGAACGCACCTTTGCAGCCGTGATATTCGATATTTGCGCCTTTCTCCCCGACTGCCTTTCCGGCGCAGCATCTGGTCGCGTACAGCACTCAGCCACAATGAAATACCCGTTTGAACAGCACTACGCACTCATCACAAACACAGGAGTCTGTCCAGCCTGCATTTTGGCGTGTAATTAGGGAGCAGACGATACAGTATACGGGCAGAACGAAAGGAGAACGCCTCGCTTGAAGTCGCGAGTCGCCACTTTTCGACAAATGCCGGATTTGGAAATACATCGAAGCGCTGTGCCAGTGGCTTGCTCTCGCACATCGTCCTCGTCGACGATGACGACGAACACAAACGCGTTGCCGACGGTCACCATAGACCTCGTAATTGTTTACACTGCATGCTGTGCCGCTGTACTTGACAAACTGTGCCGGTAGCTTAGGTCCTCGACCGGCGCTCGACTACCGAAGTGCTGAGCGCGGTTTTACATGCAATACTCTTTCACCGTCTTTTTGGCACAGTGAAGCCAACGACGTTCCAGGTGCAGGACATTACAATTGTGAGGATCACGGACACTGCTAGGCCTTCTCACTCTGACCAGTCCACCAGCCGGGTGTGGACGACGCGGATACGAAGCAGCTCGTGGACGAGAAGGTCCATGCGTTCTGGAGAGCGATGGAGGGTGGTCCCAGTAAGCGCGGACAGGTACGGGTGGACGATTTCCCAAAGTGTGTTGGCCTCAAGGCGTTCCAGATAATAGTCACCTTTGCTGAAAAGCGGGCTAGGAAGGGTTGGTTCTACATGGGCGAGGTGCGATACCAGCATGTCGTCGCTCTTTCCGTTGAGTTAACCAGTACATTAGGAAGAGGTTCCTTGGGAGCAATGGTCAACACACCTCGTCCTCTCTGACCTATCTCGGTCTAACACTCCTGCAGGATAGTCAACGCCGAGATTCGTCAGCCAAAGTCGGAGCAAGATCGCGTATCGTTCAATGCGGACCTTGCTTCTAGCCTTACCAAGGCCCTTCAGACGATGCTCACCCACATCTCCTCGGAAACCGGGCGTAAAGCTGTCCCACTCATCACGAGCAGCACGGGGATATCGCCGTTCCCATTCAAGGTGCTTGTGAAGGTCAACGGGGCAGAGGTCGGATAGGAACTCATGAGATGCGTGAAGAGGCGAGTGGATTTGTTGTACGACGTGTAATATACGGGGGCTGTTGCTTGTTTATAGATGTATCAAGTAAGTCGAACCTTAAGTGTCCTCTATATTCAATTGACTTTGTGGCGACAAGTCAATGTACGATTTCTGGTCCCAATTCTCGTCGGATACCTATGGACTTGCTCCCTCCTACCGATGACTACGTCCGCCTCTGCCCTGTGGCGTTCGCTACAAATAGTACTGACATTCAGTGTGTTCGGTGTCCCCATAGAACCGACGTCTGCAAGGGTACCCGGTATCTGCCAGACGTTCGCTGTGATGTTTGTTGTTAACACCCCAAGGAATAAGAGGGTAAGGGCCGTCAACCCGTCGGCTGACAACGTCCAGTGGTAGCAGTGACCAAACAACAGTCCTAGTTGTTCACCGACGTCCTGCTTAGAGGGGGACTCTCAATGCTCCGTGTTTCGTGCCACAGCTCACATGGTCCTGTAAGTGCAGTACTTTGAGGAGGCCACCCCTTACTCTTCCACGAGCGCAACTTGCACAGGTACCAACCGAGCTCTGTTGTCGCGATAAGGCAGCGTCGCGTCGTCGGGGATTCATGAAGGAGCCAGGTACGTCCCTGACCAGCAATAGCATTCTACACCACTCATCTCCATCTCCATCCTTGACCAACTCAAAGTCTCCCACTTGAACCTCCCCAACTCGAAACTCCCTCAGCTCGAAACTGTCCGCCATGCCTGCCGCATGAGTCTCCAAAGGAGTAAGTATATTGCATCATCAGCCAAAAAGCCATCCACGGTCCTCGACCTTCGCCCTGCTCCCACTGACGCGGTCTGTGCTCCCAAGAAGGACGCCCGGAACCCAATGCACAGTCACAGCCAGCTTTGGCTCGCCGAACCGACCGGCGATGGCGCATGCAACCTCGAAACGGGCTTGGCCATGGGCCCAGACGCCGGTCACGTCTCTGCGCCCCGCACGCAGGCGTGAGCCGTACGACAACGGCGAGCCCCGGCGCTGGAATTCGAACCGGGGGGTGCGTCCACCCTGCCGATCGCACCGTGTAATATGCATGCTGAATCGATCCGCATACCCCACCCCACGAGGAAACGATACTGTTCACGCCACCGTCAACAGCGCCGATCGTGCTGGAAAACGCGGTCTGGATCTCTGCGACAGCAAGCCAGACGGCGGCGCGATCGGGGTTCCCTCCAATGGCGGCGCCACGCAGGAAGGGGCCTTCGTCCGCGTCTCTTCCCCGCCCGCAACGTCGTGCAAATGGATCAGAGCGCCCCGCGTGCGCGGACGGGAAACGGGAGGCCTTTCGCAACCACGGGACGGGAGGGGTCATAGACCAGCCGTGCGATGCTTGCCGGGTACCCGTACCCGGGACGCGCTGGCGCTTGAGGGTCCTCGCCTTAACCACAGCGTGTCGGGTCAGTACCGCGAAACGCCCCGCGCATCCCAGCGAGCACGTGTACCCTGCAGAACGGGACGACTCCACGAGGACGCTCGGACAACCAGAAACGGGCCCCGATCCCTCCGTGCTCCTGGGCGAAGCCATTTGCCCCAGTCGAGGGCACCCCTCGCGGGAGGGGGGCAGTGTCGGGAACTTCTATGCCGGAGCGGGTGGTGCTTCGGGACGAGCAGCCAGGAAGGACCGAGCAGTGACTCCGGGCAGCGGTGCACCGACGAGGGGATGCCCGCCGAGTGCGGTTCGTATACCCAGCTGACCTGATTGGCACAGCTCGCAAGCCGGCCCCAGCAAGGGTCCGAAGTAGACTGCATATTGTTCTTGTCTAGATATACTATGCAATGCAGGAATGCGTTTGCGGACGCGTGGCGATGTGATGGTAATACATTGTTCTACAGCCATTCTTGAAAGAGAAAAAAAGTTCCGATGGTGCTCTCGCAATATGAATGCACGTATCCACAGGCATTCTAATCACTCCTTTCCTTACAGCAATCGGCGAAACGATAGAGAACTTCGAGATCTTGCGTACATGTCTGCCGGCCCTCGGCAGACCTAAAGTAGTAATGGGTTGCGCCACTCGACACCAAAGCACCCATGGGCGGTAAAAGGTCGTCGTCCCTTGACCTCATCCCGTCCCGTTGGCATACACGAAATGGGGAACCGTCGCTATATACCACCTGAGCAAAAGCAGCTCGTAATCACCATGTCTATGTCCATGAAACCGAGGGAGATAGCAGAAGTGACGAAGATGGGAAGATCGACCGTGAGCCGTATACTAGCCCTCTGGCGCGATACCGGAGAGGTCGAACGCAAACCGCCAGATCTGGGACGACCAAGAGCACTGACCTCTGTGGAAGAAATGGTATGTCAATCATCTACATACATTCCCTTCTTGCTCATGCTGCCGTAGTACCTCGAAAGTCTCATCGAGCGAAGACCAGACACATACCTGTCGGAACTGCAGGACTCCCTCCTAGATGCATGTGGCATTTCGGTAGATCAGCGAACAATATCGCGGACTCTCAAACGGAGGGGGTTCACTAGAAAGGTGGTACGTTCGCCGAGCTAACTAATGCCTCTGGAGCCTAACATACGTTGTAGGTTTCACGCCCCGCCTTGGAACAGAACAAGGATCGACGCGCCATATTCCGCGCGACAATCGCCGAGTCCTGCTCGCCCGACATGCTCGTCTTCCTGGACGAATCTGCATGTGACCGTCGTACTGCAAGACGCAGGAAAGCATGGGCTCCCCATGGAGATCGGGCCCGACGACATGATTACTTCGTCAGGGGCATACGGTGAGCATAGTTAAGTGACTTTGTGAGATTTACTGACAGCATAACAGATATTCCATACTACCCGCCATTAGTCTTGACGGCGTACTCCATCTCGACATTCTGACGCGCTCCTGGACCGGGGAGGACTTCCTGCGCTATGTAGACTTACTCCTGGATCGCATGAACCCCTTCCCGCAGAAGAATTCAGTTTTGGTCATGGACAATGGGAGTTCTCACCATGTAGAGGGCCTGAGGGAGCTTGTTGAGGCACGGTAAGTCATTGAGCTGTAGCATGGTCATTCATGCTCATGCAACATTCTGAAGGGGCATGCGGCTCCTATACCTGCCAGCTTACTCTCCTGATTTCAACCCGATCGAAGAGGGATTCTCTGCCATGAAGGCAAGCATTCGGAAGGACCGGGACTTTGTACTTGGGAAGCTTTCGCAGACTGCCTCTTGTGATCCACACGCTATGCTATGGAGGCTGGTGTACGAGACGATGACGCCGGAGAAGATCCATGCATGGTTTTACGATTGTGGTTACTGATTGTACTGTTGGAATTGAGATACAACAGGTGGTCTGCAGTCAACGGAGCATGCAGAAGGCTTTGCCTGTAGTATACACACATTGGTTGCAGATACAATACTAATCAATCAGATCTTGACAGATGTCGTATACGACCGAATGCTTCTTGGCGAAGCGGTCGGAGTTCGGGTATGCGCCCGCCCCTTTCCCTTTGCCGACACCCTCCTCCGCTTAGGCGTTCGCTCGATGTTCTCCTTCTCGCCATGGGTGGTTATTCCCGCTCGGAAACTGTCAAGGACCAGGGCACGCGCCTTCCGGAGGAATGACACGATCAAACCTTTGGGCATTCCCACCTCCTCGGCGTAGAACTCGGTGTCGAAGTCGAGCGCATTGCGTGCGTAATAAATGCCGTGTCTCGCAAGGGCCTGTTCATAGGTAGGGTAGTTAGCGAGAGGCTGCTTGACGTCCAGGGCCTGAAGGACCTCAACGATCGGGACAGGTTCCTCCTCCTCCTCTAGATCGTCGACCTGGAAGTTGTGGTCCGGTGCCAGTCTCTTGCTCCCGCGCACATGAGGAAGATGGTGCGGGACGTTGTCGAGTGCTTCACCGAAGTGAAAATGCATTGGTGGTGGTGCCACAGGTTGTACTTTGGCTGCTGCATGGCGAGCACGAGTGGTACGTTCGTTAGCTTTGTTCCGGAGCTTGTCGAGAGTCAACACGTTCGGAAGGACGGCACAGCTAGAAGGCACTTCGCCATCATGCTGTTTTGAACATTGGTAAGACTATTATGACCGTGACGTGGTCAGAGCCTTCACTTACGATCTTCCGGGCCCACAGCTGTACTGTCTCTAGGTCCAAAGGGATGTGCTCATTGGGCTTACTTGGATCGATGTAGCACCAACGATCCTTGTCCTTCCCGTGGATAGTGCATGCGAGCTTGTTTTGCACGGTGCGAAGCTCTTCGCCATATGCACACTCCGTCATTTTAGTGGGTTTCGAACCCTCCTTCTTCTTACCAGATTCGGTGCCCTTGGGATCGAAGTCCTGTATTCCACCACATGTAAGTCCAGCGATCAGATTACCTGATTTGCACATACTAAATTGGATATCTCCATTGTGATGGGCTTTGATCTCGCAGCTCTTTTCCGTGCGATAATGGCATCGAAAGCGGCATCAACATCTTGGTGCGTCTCGAGTCTCCTCCGGGCTGTCTTCTGGGACTCATCCACATATTTCCAGCCTAACTTTCCTTCGTGGGATGCAAGACCCATGCCTGAAGAGATCCGGGACAGGAAATCGGCCCGATCTATGCTTGTCTTGACTGTGAGAAGGCGCATTACAAGGTGTCGGGCATTGGGATCGGTTGTATTGATCGGGAACGTGACATCTATTTCATCCACTTCGTACATGGTGAGTGCTGATAAGACATGATCTTGTGGGTACTTACATTTCTTGCCCGTCTGATCCTGACTCGCTGATGCCTCCTGTACCTGGGAGGCAGATTGGGACCCATAGCCGACAGACGTTGACTGCTGACTTCCGGAGTCAGGATCCTGGGAGTAAGACGCAATGGATCCCTGCGACTGCTGAGTCCCATCCATGGCGCTGTACATCGCAGCGACCGCGATGTCCTCTGGCCTGGGCGGGGGCATTGGCCCCATTCCGAGCAGGAACCTTGAGATGCTAGTGCCGTTGCGAAGGCTGCGGTTGCTGCTCGTGCTTGGGGCGAAGTTAGTGTTCTGGTTAGACATGATAGTGCTGCGACGATAAGTTCAAATAGTCTGCTCAGTAGCGGGTGCCATGGTCTGTCGCATATTTGCTGTATTTTATACCTCTCGCAGACGGGGAACTCATATATTGTTGGCTACGGGGAACTCGCCTTTGACATATGGCTATATTCGCTAAGTCATCATCAACAGACCCGATGTACGCTACCAGACACTAAATCGAATACCGAGGTGTAATGCTGTGAGAGGGTAGTGGCGCAAGTGGCTCCTACTGCCTTATACGGTTTGCCTTGCGTCACCAGCACCATACACACTAATTTCTGAGGTTCTCTATCGTTTCGCCGATTGCTGTAAGCCACGGGCAGCAGGTGATGAACCGCGCCAGGTTGAGAACAGCTCGTCGACAGGGGCGGAAACGGATTTCGAGCCGGCGGATCCATTATCACACATTACATAACGTACTTGAACATCCGCCCTCCCGCCCGGCCCACTTCCGAGTTATTGCATCTCCGCCCAGACGAACTCGCCGACGGTCCACGTGCCCGTGAGGACCAACGCGAGCATCGCGAGCGAGCCGAGCGAGCCGCCGCGCTGGGTGCGCTACCGCCCAACCCGCATCAGCACCCCGCGCACGCACACGACGATGAACGCACCTTTTCGGGGTCGCCGGAGGCGTAGCCGAGGGTGTAGAGCACGCGGCCGAGCGTCCAGGCGCCCATGAGGGACGCGGCGAGGAGGGGGCGGCGCAGGCCCGTCACGAGGGTGCTGGTGTCGTCAGTAGGGGAGCAGAGTTAGGGGTTGGGGGCGGCGTACCCGATGAGCGCGACGGGGAGGTACTCGAGGGTGTTCTGGTGAGCGCCTGCGCGTCACAGGTGAGGCGGGGCACGGCACGGCACGGGCCAAACGGGGAGGGGGACGGGGACGTACGCTGCACGCAGTTGAACACCATCGCCTGCCGGGACGCGTCCGCCTCCGCCTTTTCGGCGTACACTGTGCGAGCGTGAGCACGGCGCGGCGGCGATCATGGGAGGGACGCACGCTGGGGGTACTTGATGCCGGCTGCGCGGCGGGCGCGGCCGACGGCGATGCTCTGCCAGAGCAGGAGCCAGACGGGCGAGAACGTCGACGCGACGACGTACGTGAATCTGCGCGGAGCTCAGCACGCTCCCAGCTCGTCGAGAACGCGCGGGCTTACCCCTTCGGGAGGACGAGGCTGGCCATTGTATGTAGTGCTGCGACGGTCAGGCTGCAGCTGCAGCCGGCTTTATACGGCGGCGGTTGGAGTGGAAGGCGCCGGAGACGCGCCACGTCATCGCGGCAGAACGTATTATTCCACGGTTCTCCGGGCTATGTCAGCCGCTGCTTGCTGACACGTCCTGCGGCGGAGGGTTATGGGAGCAGACACTGCTCGACATTGGCCTTTTATACACAGCTGCAGCCTATGCCCAGTCCTCATCCGATCCCGCGATGGTGTGCTCTGCGGTCGGTGGCGGTGTCACGCACGTGGGGATGTCCATCAGGCCACACATATACCAGCTACCACGCCGCAGCCACAGAGCGCTCCAGCCGCCGCCGCACCTCCTCCGCGCCCACGTTGCGCCCGACGAGCGTGCGGGCGTCCGCGAGGTAGCGGTCGATGGCGTCCTGGGCATGGTGTCGTCGGGACGGCGAGGTGGTGCGTCTTTGTGGTACGTAGGCAAGCGGGCGAGCACACGGGTATGGTTCTGTTTGTTCGAGGTGGATGCCACCCAGGAACGATGGCGACGAACGAGGGTTGGTCGCTCCAACACTGTATACTAATGTGGCTGACCGGAAGCGGTAGCGTATATTCCAAAGTAGTCGTGCTGCAGCCTGTTATGTATCTAAAAAGTCTGGATGCCCGAGCGAAGATCCGGGCCGTACCTGCCAAGTATGGCAAGACCATTTCCCGACTAGGTTATGTCGGTCTCGTTCATGCACTGTCCCTACTCCCGGAATTCGGCCATACTGACCCTTACAATATGTATCGACCCACCCCTTCCTCCTACGCCGACGCAACCGTGTATATGCCCTCCTCCTTGCCTACCCGTGAGTTGGTGCATTCACGGCAGACGACCGTCCGGCTCACTTTGCCGTTAGGAGTCTCCCATCGCCTGGTTTTACTCGGGTTTTCATTCTGGGTCGTGATAGTGTTCCGTCTCCTGGCGCGTGTACACTTACACCCTGAGGCCGCGTACGCGAGCTCGCGCTCCGAGTCGTAAACTAGAACAGGAGCTCTACACGCTGTCCAGAGGTTCGAGGGCCGACTCCAAGCCTCGGCGTCCAATTGGCCAGGCCAGATCGCGGCCGAGATTAGATCACTCACGCGTGCGCCGCAACCCACTCTATCATCGATTGCGCCGCGCTCTGCAATTTTATCTCTAGTCCATCCACCTCGACGACGATGGTGCAAGTGAAGAACAAAGTCTGCCTGATGTGCGTCACGGTCTCGTCGCTGCACTCGGGGTGAAGCTGACGCGGTGGTCGTAGCGTGCACGACGGGTGGGGCATCGCCCCCGAGAAGGGCATCAAGGGCGACGCCATCGACGCCGGCGACACCACCCACATGGACGCCATCGCCAACGCGCACGCCCACCGCACGCTGCGCGCGCACGGGCTCGCCGTCGGGCTCAGCGACGGGCTCATGGGCAACTCCGAGGTCGGGTGAGCGCGCTCTCCTACTCATCACGCGGCGGACGTGCGGGCTCTGACGCGCCCGGCGGAAGGCATCTGAATATCGGCGCAGGCAGGATCGTGTGGCAGGATATCGTCAAGATCGACGTGTCCATCAAGAAGCGGCAGTTCCACAAGGAGGAGAAGATCCTGCAGAGCTTCCGGCGCGCAAAGGACGGGAACGGGCGGCTGCACCTCCTCGGGCTCGTGCGTGCTCCTCCTTCCCCTCTCCTCTTCCCCTCTCCTAAACTTGACCCATACACCCAGGTCTCCGACGGCGGCGTGCACTCGCACATCAACCACCTCTTCGCGCTGCTCGAGACAGCCAAGCAGGTCGGCGTGCCGCACGTCTACATCCACTTTTTCGGCGACGGGCGCGACACCGCGCCGCGCTCCGCCGCCAAATACGCCAAGCAGCTCCTCGAGTTCCTCGAAAAAGAAAAGTACGGCGAGATCGCGACCGTCGTGGGGCGGTACTACGCGATGGACCGCGACAAGCGCTGGGAGCGGATCAAGATCGCCGTGGACGGGCTCGTGAACGGGGTCGGCGAGGAGGCGCGCGATGTGGTGCAGGCGATCGAGGGGAAGTACGAAAAGGACGAGACGGACGAGTTTCTGAAGCCGATTATCGTGAACGGGGAGGCCGGCAGGATCAAGGGTGCGTGCGTGGCCTGTGGTGTGTGTGGGTGGCTGCTGACGGGGTTGTAGACGGCGACACGCTGTTCTTCTTCAACTACCGCTCGGACCGCGTGCGCGAGATCGTGACCGTGTTCGGGCTGCCCGACAAGCCGATCGACACGCAGATCCCGGAGAACCTCGTACGTCGCTGCGCCATTATTATTGTCATTCTCCCCGCCTCACGCCCCACGCCCATCCCCTCCCTAGCACATCACGACGATGTCGCGGTACAACGCGGCGTTCCCCTTCCCCGTCGCCTTCCCGCCGCAGGCGATGACGAACGTGCTCGCGGAGTGGCTCGCGAAGCAGGGCGTGCGCCAGGCGCACGTCGCGGAAACGGAAAAGTACGCGCACGTCACGTTCTTCTTCAACGGCGGCGTGGAGAAGCAGTTTGACGGGGAGGAGCGGTTTATGGTGCCGAGCCCGAAGGTGCCGACGTATGACCAGCAGCCGGAGATGAGCGTGCAGGGCGTGGCGGACAAGGTCGCGCAGCTCGTGCGGGGCGGCGAGTACGAGTTTGTGATGTGCAATTTCGCGCCGCCGGATATGGTGCGCTCCGTGCTATGGCACACACGTGTATCGGGTACTGACGGCGCTGCGGATGCAGGTCGGGCACACGGGCGTGTTCGACGCGGCGGTGAAAGCCGTCGGCGCGACGGACAAGGCGGTGAAGACGGTGTACGACGCGTGCGAGGAGGCGGGGTATATCCTGCTCGTCACGGCGGACCACGGGAACGCGGAGCAGATGGTGAACCCGGAGACGGGCGCGCCGCACACCGCGCACACGACGAACCCCGTGCCGTTCATCATGACGGGCGACCCGGCCGTGTTCAAGTTTGTGCAGGACGAGGCGAAGAAGGATGGGGAGGAGGAGCACGAGGAGGGCGCCCTCGCGGATGTGGCGCCGACGGTGCTGGATGTGATGGGGCTGCCGCAGCCGGAAGGTGCGTTTGCCTGGGTTTGACACGGTGGGGTGGTAGTGCTGATGCCTTGGCCTTGATAGAGATGACCGGGCGGTCGTTGCTCGCGAAGAGCGGGTGAGGTCATCAAGAACACAGAACAAGGCAAGAGAATATAACTACAGGTGTATTATAGACTATAGACAGAAGTAGATGTATATGTATTCTGATGCAGCTGCGAACAAATATTATGCAGACTGTAGACCCGCTCGAGCCGGACGCGTCGCGATAAATGAGTGTGACGGAACGTGACCGGGCGTGCGCGTGACGCTTCGCGCTTCGCCCGCCTCACACCGTCTCTCACCACCGCCCCCGATGGCCTCGACAGCCAGACCCGCAAAACGACAAAAACTGACGCACGCGGCGCCGCGAGCACGCGCCCGCTCGCCGTCGCCCGCGCACCCCGACGCCGACGCCGAATTCAAGCCGCTCCCGCCCCCGCTCCTCCTGCTCTCCCTCCCCGCGCTGCTCGCCCAGCCCCCCTCCAGCCGCTTCCACGCGCAGGCGCTCTGCCTCTCCCTCGCGGCGGTGCGCGCGTGCCTCGCGCAGGGCGCGCTGAGCCCCGACGTGGAGTGTCGCGCGTGGACGGCGCTCGCGGAGGTCGGGATGGCGGTGGTTAGCGGGGGGGGCGCGGGCGAGGCGCAGGCGTGGGCGGTGGGCGTGGAGAGCGAGGTGGAGAAGGCTATCGCGAAGGGGGTGAGTGCTGTTTTGTGTGCTTGGGGGTTTTGGGTGGGTGTATGCGCCGTGGTTCAGCCACATTGGGATGGGAGGTCCTGCGGGGCTTGATACACTCCCTACTGAGTGGGGGAGGGCTTCTAGTATTAAATGGAGCCGATGAGCAGCTCCAGAACTGTCGTTCCTCTGCGTAGGTGGATTGTGGCTGCATGGTCGAACCCCCCGCTTCGGCGGCCTTTGGACTCGAGTCGAGATTCGGCGCGAATGGCCTGGGTATATACCAGCTGATACTGACCAACTTCGTTCCCCAGACACTGATCGCTCAGAAGGTACGCCCGCCGCTAGCCCTGCCTTGGTCCCGCTGTTAGTCGCTCACCGACTGCAACCCCAGCATCCATCACTGACGATCTACCTACACCATCTAACGGCCCTCCACGCCCGCCTCGCGCAGTGGCAGCACAACACCAAATTCGCGCGGAAGCTCCTCGCCCGGCTGACCAGCTCCTTCCTCCCCTCCGACCCCCCGCACATCGTCTACGCCGCGCACCTCGCCAGGATCAACAACTTCATCACCGCTTCCTCACCTACTTCCGCACCACACGCTTCCCCGGCGCCCTCTGCTCAGGACGTACACGCGGCGCTTGCGGCAATCGATACGCTGCAGAATCTGGCGGAGAAGAACGCGCACGAGAAAGTGGTATTGCTGTCCCGCGTCCTGCGCCTGCGCACGCTCGTCGCGGCGGAGATGTGGGACACCGTGCAGGCGACGCTCCAGCCCGTCGAGGACGCGCTCGGGCTGGCGTACGACGCCGCCTCGACGCCCAAGCCTCACTCGTCTGCTCAGCCGCCACAGACCTCCTACAGGAAGTTCGACGAGCCGTTCGAGACGGCGATGGCCGTGCACGCGCTCGTGCTCGGGGTCGCGTTCTTCACGCACGCGGGGCAGGCGGCGGACGCGTCCGCGCGGCTCGCGCACCTGCACCTCCTGCTCGACGCGGGCGCGCTCGAGCGCTTCCCCGCGGGCGTCGTCGAGGTGCGTGACGCCATTCCTCCCGCATGTCCCCTAAGACATTGAGCGCGGTGTGCTTCTCGCAGGTCTCGTTCGAGGGCGGCGCGCCGCTCGCGGTGCAGGTGACGCACCCGCGCGTGCTGTACATGCTGACGTTCCTCGTAAGCTGCGCGGCGAAGCGCGACGCGGTCGGGCGCAAGCCGAAGCGGAAGGTGTTCGCCGCGGAGGGGCTCGCCGCCTGGGAGCGCGAGATGGGCAAGGAGGTGGTATGTGAGTGGCCGTCTCTCTCGTGTGGTGATATTGTGAATTCTAAGTGGTTCGGCGTGAGACAGTGCCGGCCTGGGCGAGCGTGGGCGATGTGGAGGAGGTGCAGCAAAGGATGGCGCGGATCAAGGCGGATTTGCTGTGTGAGCTCGTGGCAGTGGGGATCATGAGGAGCGAGTTCGGGGAGGCTCAGCGGGTGGGTGTGAATTTGCTGTCACGGTACCCGATTCTACTGTACTGACCGCTCGATCAGAACCTGGATCTGCTCATCGCGCATACACGTACATATGACATCTTCGAGCTGTTCGCCGCGCGGACAGCCCTGCACCAGGGGCACCTCGCGCACGCGCTCGGAAAGACGAGCAAGGCGCTGCAGTGCTACGACACTGCGTCCTTCCTCGCGGGGAAGGATAAATTCGTCGACATGGCAGCTCGCACCGGGGAGCTGGTCCTCAGGCTCGGGATGCTGCGCACTGCAGGCGGGGATGATGCCGGTGGTGAGATGAAGGAGCTGGGCGCGGAGCTCGAGGTGCTCGCAAAGCGCTGCCGGGGCCAGGGCGCCGCGCTCGAGGCTGTCGGGCAGGTTCTCGAGTCGTGCCTCGCCACCGAGATTCTCAAGTCCAAGTGCGTCTCCTGTTTGCGTCGACGTTGTATGTACGCGAACGCTGACATCCGGTCTGCGACGACTAGGCAGCACCTCAAGCACGCGCTGAGCCTCGCGAGCAGGGCGCAGGACAACTACCTCCGCGCGCTCGTGCTCGCGCTCATCGCCGCGCACTACCTGCACACCGCGCAGGAGCACGCGCGCGCGATGCTCGAGACGTGCGAGCAGCTCGCGATGGGGCTCGGCGCGCCCGTGCAGAGGCTGCGCGACGTCGGCGTCGGCGGGCGCATGGGCCGCACGAAGGTGGAGGTCGTCGCTGTGGGGAACGTGCCCCTGCGGGTGTGGTGCGGGGAGCGGTTCCTGGACTTGTATAGGCGGGAGGGGAACGAGGGGGAGGTGAGGAAGCGGGAGGCGGTGAATAAGCAGCTGCTGAAGAGCCCTCCTGCGCGGGCGGGTGGCTGAGTCTTCCCATGGGCGAGTTGTCGTTTTCTGGTATGGTTGTGCTTTGGACGGTTTTCGCTGTCGTCTGTTAAAGCTTTCTTGCTGTGGCAGTTTTCGTTGCATCTCCTGTAAATTATAACTTTCTCAAATGCGGATAATAGAATGTAGGCAATGTTCCAATTAGGGATGACCTGGGTTCAAGTTGCAAAACACTTATGAGGATGCTACGTATGACAGCGAGAGCGAGAAAGCAAGAAACATCGGAAAACATATCAAAGCAAGTACTAGTGTGCAGCGAAACCGGATAGTAAGTGATCGCGGAACCCATCGGCCTCCATCGAGATGAGTTCTGGACATCACATTCACACGTCGGGAGCTTTGCTGGCAGGATGATGGTCGTCGGCGCGGCAGTAGGACAGCGGAAACCGACCGGATGAGGCCTCATCTTCACTTGAAACACAGTCCTCCTCATTAACATTGCTGTTCTTCGAGTCAGATGTCTCGGGATCTGTTTTGACAGTGGTCCTTGAACCCGGTTGGCCAGGGTAGACACCGGGGCTGGACGAGTTCATCTTGGTGTGTCTGTGTTTGCCGGTGTTGATCCCCAGTGATGAATCTGATGGTGAGAGGTTATCAGAGTCAGTTTAAATGTATTCAGCACGGGAGGGACTCACCGTTGACATCCCCTAGGGCCCCCCAATTGGATGGATCATCCTTGAGATCATATCCAACGTCAAAGTGTGTGGTGAGAGCAGTCTCTGGTGAAGGCTCCTTCATTAACCTATCTCCAGCCACTTCTAGGACAATCTCCCTGGATTTGAACATGTCCAGGGGGTCTGGAATATCCATCTTCTCCCTCCATTCAAGGGCAGGACCAATTGCCTCAACAGATGACTTTGACTTGGAGTCTCCAGTGGACAGATATAAGTCTCTGGCATGCGAGGGAGCACCACCGGGTGTGATATCTATTGTCAGGCAAGGTAAGTGCGAGTAAATGTCACTGTTCAGGCAACTCACAATCTGTGGAAAGATTGAGTGGACTGCCATCAACATCTGTGGCAGGGAATGATGCAAGCTCAAGCTTTGGAGTGTAACACTCAATGAGACGAGCTAAAGCTCGCTCAAAACCCTGCCTTGCTTCAGCTTTCCATCCTCTGGCTGTGTCTGAGATCGTCCAGACAACATTGCCCTTGGGATCAATGTGCAGGAGCCTTCTCTGGGGGAAGTAGGGATGGTAGAGGACTTGTGTATTGGTGAGGTTGAATTGCATGGATGTAAATGCCTTCCACTCATCCTGCCCTACTTTTCCCCAGAGCCTGCCTCCAGCAAGGTCCACATATGCATCTCCAGGGTGGCCCAGGGCAGGGTGGGGGTCACCACTGTGGATGAAGATGGAATAATGTATGGTGTTATTGAAGACAGGAAACGGGTAAGCAGTCCTCAAGCCTATCTGCTCCTTGAAGTATCCACCCTCCCACTGGACAACCACCCCAGATGGGAGGACATTTTTGCGGTCCTTGAGACAGGGCTGATGTGGTTCCAAGGAAGATGGGGACATGGGCTGAATGGTTAATCCTGGACACTGCATGGATAGTAGAAAAATGCGATAAAATTGAAATTTCCTAACCCTAGGCCCTGACTCCATCATGATGTGACTTGTTTGGTTCTCTTTGGTTTGTGTGGCCCACCCATGGTTATGGATTGGTGGAAGCAAGCCTGACCTGGTCACCAGACAAACATATATACCTGTGAGTGACTGATATACAAGCTCTGCACTGTGCCATGTTGCAGTAAGAGCCAGTGGTTTACTGATCTTGGCGTGCTGAGAGTTTGAACTGCATTCTCAATTGTGGGAATAAATTGATGCTGGCACTCACATCTGGAACCAAGAGGCAACTGATAGATAGCTCAATTCTTGCAGAAGTGAAGTGTCTTGAGGTGCGCTGGCAGGGTGATTATCTGCCCCGATGAACCTGCAGCCACAAATTACCTGGACTTCCGGGTTAGGTCCCCACATTTGGTCTCGCGCGTGTCGAGCACAGCCACAACGAGGGGTCGAGCGTGCCGCATGACGCGCGCGAGCGCTGCGGCTTTTGGAAACACTCTGCGACGACGATGTCGGACGCGACTCTCGACATGCCAGGCGCAATTGGACCAGAGCACGAGCTTGCGCCTGCAGATGTACCCGCTGAACTCGCTCGTGCCGAGTCGCGAATGCAGTTTCCGCCTTCGTATGTGATTGTGGGTGTTTACAGGTTGTTCACGGACAAGACGCTGTACGTGCCAGCATGGAAGAAGTGCCAGCACGGTGTTGTTAGAGGTCTTCTTGTTGGAGGTGCTTGGGTGAGCTTGCACAATTGAGAGAATTAGTATAGGGTGCTCATCCCTGCCTTGAGGAAAGGGTTTCATAACATTCTCGATCCAAAGGAAATTCGTCGAGCTGTTCCTCATCAAGTGAGTCTGCAGTCGTCTGTGCAAGCTTCAAATTGCTGATACTCTGCATAGATCTCCCCGTGTCACCGGCCTCTCGAACGACTCAATCTTCGGCTACAAAGTCCCCTTCGACCTCACCACCTACGCCACCTTCCTCTTCATCTCCTCGCAGGTCACCGCCATCCTCACGTACTTCCTCTCGCGCAACATCCGGATCGCGCGCCAGCGCGCATGGGAGCACACTGTCGCCTCTCGCGGGAAGGGCCCCGACTTCTGGCAGCCGTACGTGGAGGAGTGGGAGATCCCGCCGAAGGTGAGCGAGGGCGGGTGGGGGATCTGGGAGAAGATGCTTGCAAGCTACTTCGGGCGATTCTTTGTCAGGCGGGGTCAGTCACTCTCCATTCCGCCGCATACACCCAGCATCTAACGCTATAATCTCAGTGCTGCTTCTGCCGTTTGATATCGTACCCGTCGTCGGAATATTCATATCCGCCTGGCTCCGAGCTCTCGGTACGGCTAGGTACCTCCACCAACCGGTTTGTCCAGCTCTGTCACCTCCATAATATCAACACCACTCACCAGGGGCTTAGTACTTTGAAGCCAAGAAGATGTCCAAGCACCAGGTAGCCGTATTCATTGAAGAGCGGAAATGGGAGTACCGGAGTACGTGCAGTGCTGAATGCGCCTTTGCCAGCTCTGCACGGTTCACTTACGCCTTTTTCTCTAGCCTTCGGCTTCGTAGCTGCTCTATTGGAAGGCCTCCCCGTCATTGGCCTGCTTTTCTCCGTCTCCAACAGAATCGGCGCAGCCATGTGGGCTCATGGTGCGTACTACCGCTCGTACGATCCGTCCCATACACTCACGGTACGTGCTCACCAGACCTTGAAAAACGGCAACACTACATCGCCTCTCAAAAGGCACAAAAGTCAAGATGAACCATCCCGTCATAGACTGAAGGTGATCTGTAACATCTTGCATTATTATCGTATATACGCATACGAGGCATATGTAATTTTAGGAGACATAACAGGTCCATCTTAATAACAAAACAAATCGAGCGACGAGTAGTACAAAGAGAAGAGAGGAACGAGGGAGATGAAGGGGAGTCTATGTTTTCTTTTTCTTGTACTGCCTCTTCGCTGGTGCTCCAGCGGCGCTCCCGCTCGGCGTCGGCGACGCAGCCCTGGAAGCCTTCTCCGCCTTCCCCACCTCTTCGATATTCCTCTTCTGCGTTCAAAGTCAGCGACAGCGCTGCACACCTCCCAGCGCAACGCACCTTTCCCCTCGTACTGCTCTTCGCCGCCTTCGACGCGTCCTCCTGGGCCTTCGCCTCCTGCGCCTCCTTCTCGATCATCGAAAGCAGCGTCGTGCACCTCCTCGCCAGCTCCTGTGGGCTGCGGCTCTTGAAGAACCAGTCGAAGCGGAACACCGGGAACTCCGTGATGTCCTTCTTGATCCTGTCGTACACGTCCTCCGAGCTCATTCCGTAGTGGTTCAGCCGGCAGAGGAGGTAGCGGTCCTCTTCCTCGCTGTAGACTTTGCCCTTTGTCGTGGGGTAGTTCAGCTCGAGCTCTTGCATCGGGTACCGCACAGACGCGATCTTCTCCGCAAGCAGCTTCTCCAAGTTCGAACGACGGTCCCGTTTCGCCTCGCCTTCCGCGATACGGGCTTGAATCCTGGGATATTCTAGTGGCGATGTGAGTAATCCGATGACATACAACTCAAAATGAGGGATAGACGAACCGGCCAGTGTCTTCCACTTCTTCTTGAACACCGGGTAATATTTGGCAACTTCCTCGGGCGTCTTATCTTGGATGTCTGTGGCGAGTAACTCGAAGTCCTCGGTCCTGTGAATCAATCAGAATGTTACCATCTTCGAAGAGATTCAACCGTACCATCCATACGCCTCGAGTGCGCGCACGAACTGCTGGAAGTCTCGTCTACTCCAGTCTTCGAAACCTTGGGCAATCAAAGCTTCCTTCTCTGCTAGCTCTTCCTCCGTCAGAGGCTCGGCTGTAGGCACGCCAACTGTCAGTACACATTAACGGTACCAACACTGTCATGCTTACCGTTATCAATGAGCTCTTGCTCCGCCTGTCGTTCAGCCTCGAGCTTCTCGGGGGTATCCTCCGGACCTTGAGGCTCTCTCAGCGTCGCCGGAATATCGTTGGCTCTCTTGTGCGCTGCTAGCTCTCGTTGCTGCAACTCCGCCAGTCTCGGGGGGAAGAACTGGAAGTCTTGGCTGAAGACTATGTAAATCGCTACTCCAATGTGAGCAAATTAATATAAGGCTCACATCTGGATCTGCTTCGGTGCTCGAGGGATCTTGGGACCTTTCTCCGTTTTCGAAGGCCCGGCGCGCATTGTCTCCTTAAAGTAACTGTCTACCGAGTAGTTCGTCTTACGCTCCCGTTTCGACAATGCCAACATGTTGAAGTTTAATGGTTTCCGAGCCGGCTTAGGGTAGGATGATCAGCGTCACCGTAATGCTTTCTTAACGGGATACTTACTCCGGTACGGAAGTCCTCGCCCTCCCACTGCTGCACCGAAGCATCGGACTTGAAGTTGCTTAGATCCTCGAGGTTCAGATTCTCGTATTTACTATTGAGTTCCTGCGTTCGTTGTTCACCGCGCTGAATGATAGCCTCGATATCGTCGTCGATAAGCAACCTGAGGAGATACACATATGAGGCGGATTCCTCGCTCAGCTTGCAGAAAGAACTCACTGCTCAGCATCAGAATTGACGATCTGTTCAGCGCCATGGGTGATCATGTCCAGGAGTTCGTCCTTGCTCGCAGCTAGGGTGAGGGCAGCAGTTAGAGATACGTTACAGGATGATAGAGTTGCACGCCTCACCTTTCTGCTGCTGCTGCCGTCCCTGCTGGATGACCAGTTGATCAAGCCGCAGCTTCTGTGCTGCTCGCTCCAACATCCGCTCTTCCACGCTGTTCTCCGTGATGAAACGGAAGACATACACCTGCTTTGTCTGCCCAATTCGATGAGCACGATCCATGGCTTGCAAGTCGGCTTGGGGATTCCTACAACGGACGTCAGTTTGAGTCTATCCGAGCCGGGGAGCAGACACACCAGTCGCTGTCATAGAGCACAACGATATCAGCTGTGGTGAGATTGATACCCAGTCCACCGGCACGGGTCGTGAGTAGGAAGATGAACTTGTCGCTTCCAGGCTTGTTGTATTCGTCGATAGACGCGATACGGTCTTCATGGGCGGTACTTCCGTCAATACGGCAGTACTCTGCAACGTGCAGTGGTTACAGTTCAGTCTCAATCATATTCATGGCACTTACTGAAACCGCGGAACAAACAATAATCCTCCATAATGTCGAGCATGCGGCTCATCTGACTGAAGATGAGCACTCGCGAGCCCTTCTCCTTCATTTGGTGGAGCAGCTTGTCGAGGATGACCATCTTGCCTGAGTTCTGGATAAGGTGCTCGTCGGTGGTGTAAGGCGGTCCCGGCTCAGCGCCGTCGAATAGGTACGGGTGGTCTGTTACTTTACGCAACTACGGTAGATAGTCAGTTCGAGCACAATCGAAGTTATGATATCTCCCGACCTGCATGACAATGTTCATGAGCCGCGTCTTGCCCTCCTTCTTCCCGGTCAAACCGTTCACGGCGTCGATGTCCTTTTGCAATACAGACCGGTACCACTTTCTCTGCATTTCCGTAAGACCAACATAGATATTAATTTCCTTCTCTGAATAGGCGGGTTCAGCGGTTAATTAAACCGCAAACGAGAATAGCCACTTACTAGGTAGAAGGTTCTTCTCCACGTCCGCCTTGACTCTCCGCAGAAGAAAAGGCCTCAAGATCTTATGCAATGCATCGACTACCTTCTTGCTCTTCTCCTCGTCGCCCTCCGCGCTCGCCTCATCTTTATGCAAGAAACTGTCCAAATCCGCATAATCCTGGAAAATCTCCGGGCAAATAAAATTCAGCAACGCAAACAGCTCCTTCATACTATTCTGCAGCGGCGTGCCCGTAATTAACAACCGTCCGCGCGACATGAACGAGCGCACGATCTGGCTGAGGATCGAGTCGACGTTCTTGATGCGGTGCGCCTCGTCGATAACGATGTACTCGAACGACAGCTTCTTCAGCGCGTTCTTCTCGATCAGGCAGATCTCGTACGATGTGATGAGCACCTCGAAGTCGATCGGGAGCACGCGCGTCGCGACGAGGTCCTGCCGCTCCTCCTTCGAGCCCGTCAGCACCACCGTGCGCACGTCCGGCGTCCACTTCTCGAATTCCCGCGCCCAGTTCTGCAGCGTCGATTTGGGGACGACGATTAGGTGCGGGCCGGGCGTGTTCTTGTGGTGCTTCAGGTATGCAAGGAAGGAGATGGTCTGGAGAGTTTTGCCGAGGCCCTGTGCAAAGTATACGGCGTGAGCGTGCGGTTTTGAGTTCCAACCTCCCGGGACGCACCATCTCGTCGGCCAGAATACCATTGAGACCGTTATGGTGCAAGGAGACCATCCAGTTCAGGCCCTGAAGCTGGTAAGGCCGCATTTGGCCATGGATAACTGATGGCGGGATGCTCCGTGAGCGGTCTGACGGAGAAGGTACACGCAAGACACGTACAGCTGGGCGACTCCTCGAATACAAACGGTTGGTCATCCTCGTCGTCTGCGGCTAACGCTCCTCCCTTCAAAAGCTCTTCGTCTTCTTCCTTCTCCGATTTGCGGTGACGAGCACTATTATCACTGTAGACGGCGGATTGAGTAGATTAGCATAGAAGAGGTAGCTACAGCCACTTACACAGCCTTTTTCCGTCCACGTCCTTTGGGCTTCGGTTGCGCATCGAGGAGAGCAGCGTATTGCGGATCACGTGCTTTCTGCGATAGGGTGAGTACAGCTACGCCTGCCGGGTGCTACGCACGTACCCTCATATCCACGAAATGCCTGAACAAGTCGGTCTGTCCCAGAAGGTAAGAGTACCGCTTGACAGCATCTGCAATCTGTCGCGGGACGTGTTACAAGGAGTAGTGCCAATCGAAATACAGGCCACGTACTTTGGCCTTGTCCATTTCCTGCCGCTTTTGCTTCAGGTTACCTTCGTCCGCCTTGCGCTTCTGCCGCTTCGCGCTGCTTGGGCCTGCTCTTCCCCTCCCTGCATTCGAGGTGGAGGGCACATCATCCTACCGGGACAGTCAGCACCACGAGCGGCGTCAGCACGAGCACGACCGACCTTCTCCTCGTTATCGCTCTCTAGCTCGTCCTCCTCTTCAACGTCAGGTACCTCGACTTCGTACTCCTCTTCTCCGCCTTCGCTTTGCTGCACGAAACAGAGTTGAGCGCATCAGCCACAATGGACAACACACCGATACTTGCCTGACGCGAGACAATGTTGCTTGGGACCACGTCACTCAGCACGTCCTCTTCCGCCGTTATCACGTTGCTAGCCATAGTCCAGAAGGAATGAGCTGGAAAGGCGGTAAACTGGAAGACAGCGAGTTGGGACAAAGTGGACGCCGCAGAATGAGGGGATGTGATGTGACATGATCGTGACTGAGCGTGTTGCGCGTCGTTCCCACGCCATATTCAGCCTGCCGTTTGGCCTCGCGACGGAGACGACTGCGAAGTCAAGCTGCTCATCATGTGCGCTGTCGGGGACGACACGGACGTCCTTTGCTTCGAAGACTGTTCTGGAGAAGCTCTGCGCTCTGCAACAAGACCTGTAATATACGCCTTGCGTATGACTCGCTCGCATCTTTCTCAGCCGTACGACACGCTAGGCCAACCGGGATTGTTCTGCAGACAGTACAGCTCGCGAGGCCTCTCTGAGAATGCTACTGGAATTCTTCGCTTATGTATGTTTTAACTGAACGGCTGGATTGCTCTTCGAGCCGGCGGATCACGCTCGATAGTCGAACTGAACCCGGACAAGTATGCGTGTCCTTATGACAGGATGGCCTTAGTATAGCCCGTGCTCAACTTCCCATACAACGCAGCCTTGTCTTCCATGAAGCAGCGGGCTTCAGGGGGATTAGAATAATTTCGGAATATCTACAGGACTACACCTATGCCCATGTTCCAGATATGGTAATCGTTGTAAAGGAGCGGTTTACACGAGTTCTGCTCGCCCGCCGTGAACTCGCCCAGCGCTCAACAAGCCTCCAGTACCGCTCCGCCACTCTTGGACGGAGCACCCCGCAGCCGAGCATACTGTCCTGCGCATACTTCGCCCTTCGTGGATGTGATCGGTGCGCGGATTACTGGCCTAGAGGACATTGCGAAGGCGGAATATTGGACCTCTCCACTTCCTCTGCCATTCCCCCAGGGTGAGCAGCATATTCAATAACTTTTGGTACCATGCCGCTACCAAGTTTGTACTCCCAGCGGTAGCGCTGTTTTCCTTGGAAAGGCGGCTGCTAGCACCTCGGAAAGGTGGCCCCTTGGAGAGGCTGCAAGGCAGCTCCTTTGAAAGGCAGCTCCTCGGAAACGCCTCGCGATCGTCCTGAAGGCAAGAGCGCAAGCGGAGCTTGAGAGGGATTAAACCAGGCTCCTAAACCATCCGTCCTTAGCGTTCTCGCTCCTCCTTTACTAGGGCGCACGTGCAGTGTTATATAATACAAATCTATTTTTAATTTATTACCGGATACAGAACGAACAAGAGGAGGAGAACGCTATAGGACGGCTGGCACAAATGTCGTCGCCGAGATCCCCGAGGCTGACTAAGCGGACGGTGGCTGAAGCCTTTCACCAGCGGTCGGCGGGCCTTCACGCAACCATTTACAACTTATTACCTTTGGATTTACCGCTCGGTGTACTTTATAGTAATTTAAAAATGTCCTAACTGAATGGTATACTCATGCAATGGTTATCAGTAGTACCGAAGGCTGAATATCTGGCTGAAGAGGCATAATGGCTATAGACAAGCCCCTCTGAGTGTCAGAAGTATACCAAAGGTATTTGCATTGGTCTTGAACTATGTTAGCACCCGTTTATATGTGTTCTGCGTGAGCTCAACGAGGTAGGTGTCGAGACGCTCTCTACATCGCCCGCCAGCCACTGCTGAGAGGCTTCAGCCACCCTCCGCTTAGTCAGCCTCGGGGATCTCGGCGACGACATTTGTGCCAGCCGTCCTATAGCGTTCTCCTCCTCTTGTTCGTTCTGTATCCGGTAATAAATTAAAAATAGATTTGTATTATATAACACTGCACGTGCGCCCTAGTAAAGGAGGAGCGAGAACGCTAAGGACGGATGGTTTAGGAGCCTGGGATTAAACCGGAATACAGTAGCCGGACCTTTGTCAATGTTCCCGAAATGGTAATTGTTGTAACCCGAAAAGGTCCCGAGACAAACATTGATCCTCGATTGTAGGGGTCGCGTTGTGGGTCCTTGTGTTATCGTTGCTCGTGGTCTACATGTGGACCCACATGTCCGCCTCGCCACCCTCCCTTAACCTGCGACTATAACAATACAAGAAATCTCGGCGGCACAGCATTCGAAACAATACAAGGTCACGCAACGATCAACTTCGGGCCCTACAGCATAAATCCGTGCGCTCTAGGGTGGTAGATGCTGCGTCTCGTACCCATCTGCAGACTCAATACCCCGGGCTGGTCCCGTATCGTAATTCTCACTACACGCCATCATGAATTTCACGTTCAGAGTAAACACTCTTACGCCCCCCAAAGCTGACATAGACGCGCCCTTTCCCATCTACCGCGCTAGGCGGTCCAAGAAGACGCTGGACGACCTCCCTTTTGACATACTCGTCGACCACATCCTCTCCCTCCTCGACGTCAAGGACGTGCTGTCTCTCCGCAGGGTGCGTTTACCCGCTGTGCTCCAGACACTCCCAGTAACCCGATCCCAGACGAACAAGTTCTTCAGCACCCTAACGCAAGAGGCCGCCATCTGGAAACGCCTCCTCGAGCAGCACCGTGGCCCGCGCCCGCCCCTACCGCCGACAGCTCGTCACTCCCTCGGGCAGATGCACGCCTTCGAAGCCGAGCGCCAGCTCTCGCGCGCGCTCACCTTCACGCGCAACTGGGCCTCCCCCGAGCCCACGCCCTACGACACGTACTCGTTCGACACGCACTTTCGCGTGCACAACATGACGATCCTGCCCGGCGGACACTTTCTTGTGGCGTCGGTGTCGACGAAGGGCCGGACCAAGTTTGAGGTTGTGCTGTTCGCGCTGGATTATCGGAGCAAGGGACGGCAGGCGTACCCGCTCGCTACTGTTTCTGTCAAGACAAAGGCGTACGACATGCAGGCGAAGTACATGTATATAGGTGAGGAACATGGCATCGCGATTAGTTATACGCGGAGACAGAACCCCAAGCATCGTCCTGGGTACGTCTCCTCCACTTCTTTTCTGATCCGTCCTTAATAATAATTGATTACTGTCGTACGACCAGCCCCGACCCCTCGATTCTATCCGACAAGTACGAAATCGACGAGCGCATGAACTACGAGACAGTCGTGACCTTCATATCGCTCACCACGCTTGAGACCCTCGCCGACATTCAACCGCAATTCCGCCCTGGCACCAACGAGTACCGCCTGTACATCGAACACCTGCCCGCGCCCTTCAAGCGGATCGCCGTCATCCGCTCGCGGTCCCCACTATGCTGCCCGTCCCTCGAGTACCTCAACGGAATGGCGTACCTTTGCATCGTACGACGGCCCGGGACGCTCATGTACAAAAACCTAGAGCGGGAAGAGAACAGTGCGCACTGCTTCGGCTGCCTGCCTTCGAACACCCCGGAAGACCACGTCTGTCCATTCCCATTCCCTCTCTCCCGGCGCGGCTGACGCCTCTCTACACATAGGACCACACCATCCTCGCGTACCGCAACCTCCCCTTCGAGCGCAAAGTGATCGTCGTCAAGCGCTTCCTCCGGCGCGCGCTAGACGCCGCGGGCAAGGAGATCGACACGCCCATGATGTCCATCGAGCTCTACCACCCACTGTACGACTGGGACCTCGACCGCGACGCGCTCGACGGCTACTCCTTCGAGCACGCCGTGCGCAGCGTGCACATCGCCGAGCCGCAGCTGCCCTACTTCGGCGATGACGCCGCGCGCCGGCAGGCAGGCTCGGGCGCGTTCCTCCGGCCGCCGGTCATCTCCATCTACTGCCGCGGCGCGAACCCCGACCGGTTCCTGCTCATGGAGTGCACGCCGCGCATCGTGGATATCGACCGCGAGTGGGAGCTGTACAAGAAGATCAAGGAGGTCCAGTGCAAGGCGGGCGACTGGCGGGCGAGGTTGTACCTACCGCACTTCTACGACCTCGACCTGATGAACCCCGTCGCGGAGTTCCAGTACCCCGAGGCGTTCGGCACGGCGTTCGTCCTCCCGGGCAATGGGCGCGCGGCGCTGTGGGCGGTGCCCGCGGACGACCGCACGGACGCGCCGAAGCTCATCAGTATCTGGAGCTTCATTCGGTCCGAGAACGACGCGGACCTCCTACCGCGGGAACAGGAAGACGCAGAGTGGCCCGCGCGGAAGCCAGATGGGACGCGCAGGGACTGTTTTATGCCTGTCGTGCTGGAGGAAGAGGTCCGCAACAGGTTTGAGAGGGGTGTGCAGGCTATGGCGTGGGATGAGAGTATTGGGCGGCTCTGTGTCTGCGCGGCGGAGAGCTCTGAGATTTACGTGCTGGATTTTGCGAAAAACGTGAAAGACGGTGGGTAGCCTCTTCCCCTCTGAGATTGCGTGCGCGACTTACCTGGTCCACGATAGTGAGTGTGCCTGTGCACAAATAGACTATGAAAGTCAGTCGCTAGGACTCTCCTCTCCTTTGGACCCTGGACTTTTGGACATGGCTGCAATCATCGTCACTTAACACGGACTGTAGCTTAGCGCAGCGCTTACGGACGCTTGAAGTCCTCAGAGCATGCTTGGCTCGCTCACGGACTATATTCTCTGTAGCATTATTTATTTCCCTTGTAGTTATTAGACTACCGCCCCGTCTTTAGCAATCAAATCCGCCTCCTTGTGTCTATTCTTAAATTGCATCAACTGCGGTCCTCAGCGGATGTCATCTTCATCCCGCCAGCGTGTTTTGTAGCAATCTGTACAATAGCAGTGTAGCATAGCTGTATCGATAGCCCAATGCACCGGCTCTGGTCGACGTATCTCGAGTCCAGCAACGGTCGCGGCGTAGGCCCCGTCCGACCGTCAGTAAGTTCTCCCGATTGCCAGCTTCAGCCACACCCGTTTAACCCCTCTGCCTCCGCCGCCTCGTTTTCCATTCATTAGATGGACAGCAACCCGTAAGTGCAGCCCATTCTACCTCTACGGTTTAAACTTTTCTTGTTTGCTCACGTTTCCGTGCTTGTTCACCTTTTCGTGAACGCCGGCCCCGACTGCGCATCGACAGCCTCTCGCGCCGAGCGTCGTCGGCAGAGTCGCACACCCCCTCCACCACAACCGCGAACGCCTCCACGCGGCACATCCTCGCGGGCATGCACCCTGAGCCGTCCATGTCGCTCCCGAAGCTCGAGCCGCCCGCGCTGGCGTCCCCAGGCTCGGGCGGCAACCTCGGCGCGAACTACATCCCGTCCAAGTTTTCAGAGATCGCGGGCATCAAGCGGCGCAAGGGCAAGGGCGCGCCGCATGTGACGAAGCGCGGGGGCGGGCGCGAGGCGTTCAGGGCGGACGAGGCGCGCATGCCCGGCGCGGGCGACGAGGACTACGACGGCGTCGGCGGTGGCTGGCTGGGCGGGCAGGGCGCCGGCCGGAAAATGCGCTGGAACAAGTTCAAGTGGACTCTGTTCTTCGGGAACCTCTTGGTGCGTCCCTCCCAGTTTACACAGCCGAGCGTGTGTATGTATACCCATCGCATCTCTCTCCCGCCAGCTGTCTATCTACTCGCTCGTCGGCCTCATCTTCTGCCTGCTCACCTGGTTCGCGGTGTGGACGCACTCGGACATTGTGCGCGTCGGCGACCGGACGGAGCTCGTGCTCTCCACGCTCGCCGCGACGCTCGGGATCGTGACCTCGCTCATCGGGTGGGCGGGCATCCTGCTCAACGACCGCGCGTTCCTCGCGTGGTACACGTTCCTGCTCTGGGTGTGCTTCGCGCTGCTCGTCACGCCCGGGTACGTCGCGTACAAGCGCAAGACATTCAACCTCGAGGGGAAGACGAACGCGCAGTGGTCGCGCGCGCTGGGCACGGAGGGGCGGCTGCGGATCCAGAACCAGCTCGGCTGCTGCGGGTACTTCAGCCCGTTCATCGAGGCGACGGTGAGCCAGGCGTGCTATGCGCGGAGCATACTGCCCGGGTGCAAGGGCCCGTACATGCGCTTCCAGAGGAAGGTGCTCGAGCGGTGGTACACGGTCGCGTTTGCGCTCGTGCCGCTGCACATCGCGGTGATGGTCATCGGCCTGCTGTGCTCGAACCACGTCACGTACCGCTTCGGCAAGGGCATGATGCCCAAGGCGTACCGGCTCAACCTCGACACGATGGCGGTCATCATGGATCAGTATGCAAAGTGCGTCCGCGACCATCTTCTCCTCCTTCTCCCGTGCCCATGCTCATGCTCATTGTGTGTGCGCAGTCAGCTGGCGGAGCAGTACGGACCGGACGTCGCGTCGGAGATCATCTCCCGCTCGCGCTCGAACCTGCAGCTGGACGCGATGCCCACCGTCGGGTACACGAGCGGCAACGACAGCGGCAAGTACGACCGGCTGCGCAACCGGTGATATCCCCGTCTTCCTGGAACGCGCTTTCTCGCGCCCGAGTCGTTCGTCCCGTATATTATATAATTTCGTACAGTAGTTTCACTCCTTAGTCCCCCCCTCCCCCGTCCCACCCATCGATACCCCGCGGCCGCCCGCCTGCACATAGCCGCTTGGAAGTTCAGGTCGAATGAATGTAGCTGCATGATGCATATGGACGCTCCGATAGTTCTTGGGACGAAGTAGCACGCTATAATGATGGACAATATGCATCTTTCGCGGCAGAATTAAAGCTTAATGCCAAACTCTGGTACGCTTATCTGTGGTGCATGATTTGTGACTCGATGCAATGGACGAGCTCTGCACTTGGGGGTACTTAAAGGCCTCATGAAGCAACATCCACACATCGGGTGATCAGGCCAATTCGGGGATTCGCTTTAAATTTGAATTGTCAATGTGGCCAAGTACCATCAGCAGTGGATCCGAGTCTGCCACGCCTCCACTTGCCTGTTCACTTCCAGGTCGCGCGTTATGTAGTGCTTTGTTTACTGTGCCATGACCATGATCGCACCCGGACTACCCAGGGCTTGCAGGAACAGCGGACGCGCTTCTGCCATGGGACTGGCGCGTCCAGATCTGGATGACACTGAACTAGGGTGGTTTACGTGAGGAGTACGTACGGTACGACAAGGCGCTCGCGGATTTACGTGTCGACGGTGTCGTGCTGCTCGCGGTCCACAGCGGTCGTGCTACTTAGCGGGCCCTCTCAGTTATCCCGCATACAACTGCGAGTACGTTGTTCGTCGCTGGTACGCAGCGCATTTCACTAACGTGCCGAAAGTGGAGAAGGAGAGCCGCAAACGCGCGCTCAGCGCAACGGACAGCAAGTCGCCCGGCGGGAAGAGAGCCAAGGGCCCCGAGGCGCCGCCCGAGGAGGTCGAGCCGGAAACGACGTCCAGCACCTCAGTCCCGGCATGCGACATCGCAAAGTACCCGCTCAGAGGCCTGCCCGACCCGGCGGTGTTCCTCCTCTGGGGCGACGCGGTGCTCGACCTCGTCGGGGGGAGCAGGGGGATGGGGGACCACCCGGTGCTGCGGCTGAAGAGCGCGTGCGTGGAGGCGTACGCGAAGAAGCAAAAGGAGGAGGAGGAAGAAGAAGACGAGGACGGCGACGGGGAAGGGGAGTGGGCGGATGGGGTGGTGCGGTATGATGTGGATGATGGGGAAGACGAAGATGACGAGGATGACGATGACGACCAAGGCGAAGAGGGCGAGGAGACAGAGAAGGCGCACTCGTCCGGCCCGAAGCTCCTCACCGCGCAGTACGAGCGCGAATTCAAAACGGCCTCCGAGCTCGCACCGGAGATCAAGGAGAAACACGGCGTCGACCAGTACGGCTGGTGGTGGGAGCTCACGCTCACGCGCGCCGAGCCCGCGGGGGACGTACCCAAGAAGAAAACCACTCTGCGCAAGCCGTGGGGGTACGACGAGGAGGACGAGGAGGCGGAGTGGTGGGTGCGGGAGGCGAGGGTGGCGGGTGTGGAGGAGCACCGGATGATGGACGAGATGATCGACTACCTTATTGACCCGCTGGATGGATAGGTCATGGCAGGATTTACCCTATTTTCTTGGACAATTGCACGGTTTCGTGGACTGGCCGAGAGATTGCGAGAGCCGCGCTGTTGAATCGCGCAGGACAAACCTGCAACGCAGTTATGAGTGGCCTCCGAATGAGGCAATGTCATTGCCATATATGTGAGGAAGCTCGCTTCCCGCGGAAACATTTAAACGCCCGGTTCCATCTGAAGGTTGCTTTACAGTGACAGTTTTATTGGATAGGTTGCTAGTGCCTACCACCGCAGGTGCGAGCATCTGCAGCACCAATACTCATAGCATATATCAAGCTGGCGGAAGAGGACTGGCATACTCGCCCATCAAGTTGCTGGAACACCGATGAATTGAATGTACGTTGGGGCTGCGAACCTATCGACTCTGCGACACCTACTGCCGGCGGCCAAGCTGCCTACCGGTAGCAAGCCTTCGGATACAAGGCATTGGCCATTGTATAACTACCTGGCTATCGTCCCTCGAGCTCCGACCTGAATCTGCAGGAGACGCTGTTCACTGCTATCCCGTCTTCGGCCAAGGAGATAGACTCCGGTACTGGCAAGACATCATCCAAGCGTACTATCATTGAGGGGGTTCTGCAAAAAGTATCGAATTCGGCCTGTAGCATTCCACACACTTGACTGATTCTTATCGGATCTTCCGCATATTGTGTGTAACGTAGTGATCAACGTCCTCATTATTTTTGTGCATTTTTATGCAGCCTGTGGAACGTAGGAGAGAGATGCCGGTTCATGTAGGGGGTTCTGCAAAAAGGCGTCACATGCGGTCACAGTGGGATCTCGCCGCGAGCGATGTCACGCTTTTGTCACGATATGGGCCCGGGAGATGTGCAAAATTGCCTCTCTATCTCGACACGCTCGTAATTTACTCTATCGGGCTGGTGTATTGTACTGTAGACGGCATATTCATGATATCCCAAGCCATTCCGCTGCAGTCCGTTGAGAGCATCACGAGAGATCTAGCGGACACTGTTTCTTTCCCATGGCCTACAGGACCC